ACTGCTATAAACACGTCTATAGTTTTATGATGTCACTTCACATTCAAGAAAACTTTCCACAATAGTGGAGCTCACGCATGGAATCTTTCATAACAGATTCAAGCGGATTGAAACTGAATCATACCACAAAATTAATATTTCTATTGAAAGACTGTTTGGTTTTTTAAACATAATGAAAACAGAAACAGCATTGAAGAATGTTTTCTAATAAGAGAGCCCATGGAGGATTTTCGATAGTGTGACACTCCACAACTGTATTGTTGAAGTGAAAATATAAAATGTGACTGAACATAAATAATAACCATACAAATTAATCCAAGTGTCGCATTTCATGAAGTAGTCATAAAGGGTTTCATTCATCACATCACAGGTGACCAAGTCGAAGTTGGAAAATTAGAGGTCTTGAGGAAATCAGACGCACATATAACTGAAGAGCCAAAAAGTCCATATGGGTTGAGATTTGGTTATATATATCCTGCTGCCTTTGTGAAAGAGTGAAAAGTGGAAAGGGGGAGCGTACATCCTGCATAAGCAGCACTGGATAGTGACAAACATATGTACACTCACTCCTGGGGATGGTTGCGAAACATGTTTCAAAATCAAATAAACTTACTGTGACATATTTTCACCTTTTAAAAAGGGAAGCAATTAAATTCATCATTACAGGTGGTGTCAGAACAAAATGAAAAAAAGAAGTAATCAGGCGTGATGATGGACATGTCAAGCTCAAATTTTATGATGATATTCAGAGTCACAATGTCACTATCTCATTTAAGTCCTAATGGTAAGAATGAATCAATTTATTAGTCCCAGAATTAAATTGCACGATGGGAGAACCCATAGATCACTTCAGCGGTTCTGTTCTCAGGGAAGTGGGTTGAATCTTAGGAATTGTTGCAAAATTGAACCATGTGGAGGTGTTGGATAGATTGGGATAATAGGATGCAAATGGCTCCCATAAATCATTCTTCTGAGCATAGGGTAATGGCTGATGAATGATACTTCTCAAGCTCCATAAGTGCTCCTGGCAATAAATACATTGTCCAGGTCATTTGTATTTGGATTCAAGGTTTGATGGATGTGGGATTACCACTTGACCTTGGAGTAATTCCAATACATTGCTTAAATCATCCAATACATTATCTATCCCATAACGGCTTGACCAGTCTGTAAAGATTTCACTTCATAATGCAAAATGTGTTTTATGTGATGAATTAAACTGAAAGTATTAGAATTACTAATCACCTAATGTCCTCATGGCAAAGCACCATGAACATTTTATTCAAAACAATGCAGTATTGTTTCCACAGGCCTTTTATCTTTCCATAATGAATTACATTGGTATCTATCTTTGATGTGTTACTGCACAAAAACAAGATCTTAGACATATTTAAGGAGCATCTGAGAGTGGTTTAGTTTTTGTCAAGTTAAGCAGGTTTGAATCTACTCATCCTCTAAAAACACTTGATCCTAACACTGGCTGATATAATTGTATTTGAAGACATTTACGCCTTAAAAGGGAGCATTGAGTCTTACTGTAGCGTCCTCTTCAAATAAATTGAATTGCTTTGATACTATTACAATACACTTTTAGTCAATACAACTGATACTGTCAGTTAACATTTTATTAATAACATTTAACACATAACTAATCTTTTCCATATTTTCACATTTATCTGTTCTTATTTTACAACTAAACTAAAACGTAACTGTTCTAACTGTGTTAAATATTTGACTTTGAACCCCACTTCATTGCAAAAGTGTGACTGATCATAGCTGTTTAATCCAGATACCTTCTCACCTTTCTCCTATGGCAAGACACGAGCATTGTTTTGCCTATCAGTCACTGAACTGAAAGTATAACAATTGATTGCACTTTTTAATTCAAAGACAGACAATCCACAAAGAATCTGGCTGTAAATAGGGTTAACAGATATATCTTGATTTCTGGGAAAGTTCTTGAACCAAAGCCTGTTTACAAAATGCCAGCAAAACCCACTTCAGTTCTGAAGGCTATAAAGAGAAAAAGCTTATGTAGTCTGGGTTGTATTGTGAGTTTGGGTTTTTAAGGAAGTCCCTTTAAATTGTTTCTGCATTCTGTCAACTTGGTGATGTATCTCTAGCTGTTATACCCCAAAACTGATCCTTTACTAAGTTTTGAGTTTTATCTGGCCTGAATCTAAAAAACGCCCTCAAATGACAGATAAAAGTTCCAATTCCAGGGAAAGACTGAGCTAGATTTCATATTCTGTCATGATTCAGAGTCATGATGTCAAGATGTTGACTAGTCACAGCATCACTGTGTGGGGGAGTATGCTCTCCAGATCCCCTTACTCTCTGAGTCCTGTTTCTCCTGATTCATTCTACACTGGAATGAAAAGCATGTATGGAGAAGCTTGCACAACATTTCAGTGAGATTGATCAGACCTCTCTTTGTCTCTCTCACACACACACGAACAGTACAACAATCCAATCTCTTTTCTCGTCCATGGCTCTATGGCGTCTCTGAAAAAGTGAAGAATCCCATGCGTACATACGGAATGATGTCCCTGTGCGGTTTGTTGAAAAACGTGAGAAATATCATGAAAGGACAGATAACTGGAAAAGCAGCACTATCTTGTTGGACTATTAACAGAAGCTATAAACAGGGCTAGTGAAGGACAAGGGTGGATCTGGACATAGGGTGAATGTCCCTGTCAGTGTATGGTCTGTTTCCAAGTTGATGTCCATGACTCTAGGGTTATGCTTGTACACACTAAGAAAAAAGGGTGTTTAAAGGATACTTGCTGAGTTGAAGTTGAATCTGTTTTTTTTTCTTTTTCAAGATAGTCTCTTGCAGGTTTAATGTATCTAATAAAAGAGACTCCCAGAAACAAGACGTTTTTCACTTGCTATAAAAAAAAGCATTCTAATGGCAGTTCTAATGACAGTTCTTTTTTGCTATTATCTTGATGTGGTGTACCAAAACAACATGAAATTTGACTATCAGATACACATTACCAAATGCATTTTGCAGAAGTCGGACCTGTGTATGAAATACTTTTAACACAAGGGTTTTTGGATGTCCTTTTAGTTTAAGAGTGTGCCTTCTTAGTGTGCACTGACATTGCTAACAGAGTACTGCAATAAGGAGACCACTTTTTCATCTTCACTTTTGCAAAGTCTGCAGATACCAGCTGAGAATGGAATTGTGGGAAACTGTACCCTGACCATTTTAAAGACATTAGCAGTAGAAAAGTTCAAGCTTACTGTTTAACTTTTATTGAAAAAAGCAGTAACTAAGCCATGTTTCTGACACCTCTCACTGAGATGTTACCATGGTAAATTACGCTGTCTTTATTATTTTTTAGAAGAAAATCAAGTACAGGTAAACAATCATGTGGAGGACAACACACACATTCTTGTATACAATGGAAATGTGTCTTTTTATATGATAAAATTGAAGTTTAATGTTTTTTTCTGTGAAGTCATTTGAACATTCTGTGAAACATGTTTCTCTTGCATAACTGTTGATCATGATAGCTGAAATCTACTCAGTGGGATTTCATTTAACAGTTTTGGTATTGGACAGAGCCAATGTATCATCCTACTGAGACTCCTAAGTTCAACAACCTAAACCTCATGTTTGACCCATGAAAGATAAAAATTCTTCTGAAAAGCCCTGAAGGCATTTGCCTTTCAAATGTTTCTATTAATTTGATAACTTTTCATGTCCAACATTTTAACTTGTGCTCATTTGATTTTCTTCTTCTTAACTTAGAAACCAGTTGTGGGAGACTGTATGTGACGCCAAACTAATTATTTAGAAGCTCAACAAAACAGAAAGGTGAAATGAAGAACTGGATAAACGTGAGTAACTTGACTCAAAGTCATACAGTTTGTAAGGCAGAGGTTATTAAGCAACTTCCCTCTCTTGAAGGCCACTTGTTACACCCTGTTCTCTTCCCACAGGTCATTACTGTCACTACTCATGATGAGCTGTATCCTGTTTGAATATAATTCCTGCCCACACTTCAGATATATGTGAATAAAACGTGTGTTTCTGCAGATTATTCTTTACTTACTTTGCTGGTTTGTTGATGGTGAAACAGATGTTTTATGTAGTTTTTATTAGCATATTATAGCAGTGAATTATCTTTTTATCTACTCGAATACTTGATTAAGCTCCTATGACCCTTGAGAAAAAGATTAAAAAATTTTGAAAAACTACATTTGATTTATACAATCTCTTTGGGAGATTAGCTGCTGATTCCAGATCGACAGGTCTTCCACCATTCATTTTTGTAATGCTAGAGCTGATGTTGTCATCACCCTAAATGTTAAAACATTTTTATGTATGTATACATTTCTGTATGAAAAACCTTTTATCTTTAAGAGTTATCTTTTTTCTCTGTTTATAACAGAGTTAGTATTTAGTAAGAAAATTAGAGTGCAGTTTGTTAGACATCCATCTTTTTGCCTTCTTTTACTTTAATACCTGTATGTGTGAAACATGCTTTGTCATGCACTTGATACCAGGATTTTCTCCAAGATGATTAATGTGAAATGTGACCTCTGCTTAAATTAGAGTATACTACTGTTCTGGATTAACTGCATGAGAGGAGATCAGTTGTTCGTGTTCTGCTTAAAGGTTGATGTAATTATTTTCAGGTATTACCAGTACTACTACTTTAGAAATGTCATGGGGACATATCAGAAAAGTGTTTCATAACATCCAGTGGAGAGCCAGAGTTCATGCTGGTTGTTTCTGGGGTACGCCTGTTTGTGAAGCCCATTTGGCTCATTGTGGGTTGTGAAATGTCTTCTGTAAAGAACTCTGTACTGTTCCACTTGAATTTTTGGGTTTCGGGGCATGATGAATTTTAAGTTGTATATGGTCAGTCAAACTGTGTCTAACTGCTCTAAAAGTGAGAATAGTTAGCAAATCTTTGACTTTAAAGAGAGCAACTTCATTGGCAATTCAACAGCTGAGCTCCAGTAATGTAGTAAACACTCAAAGGTTTTCCAGGAAAAAAAAGTTTTTACTGAAAAAAAAACTACAGTCATTTTATAATTTCATAGCATATGATTGTATAAACATAGACATAGATGGACATCAATGAAAATCAGTTACATAAAGTTTAAAATACATCTACTCCTCTTTTAGCCGGTAAGAGTAAAATGCTTTTAAGAGTTTAAAATCTTTCACGTTTACGTTGGTCAAAGGTTTACACACAGTGTTAATTCATATGAGCTAAAATATAAACAAAGACAATTAGAAATCATTTTTAATTCTGAATTAACATTTCATCCATTCATATCTGAGGCTGACAACATCAGTGGTCTTTCATGAGTTGACGTGCTTGCATAAGTTCTTTGAAGATGATGACACTTGAGGTTTTGACAATCATACCGCACAATACAAAGAACTGCCTCCCAACACATTACAAGGAGCTAGTAAAGGGCTTATTGCAAGTGCGGCGACCGAGTCTCTGAGCATCCAGCATCTGAGGAGTGGATCAGGGTGTAGTGGCTGGGCAGGTGGTTGATATTGGGCGTTGCAGTCAGAGCAGCCTCCCTAATCGTCTTCTTGAGTGCTTTAGTGTAGTTAGTGGAGGAGGTAAACAGACAGGACGGTAGTTCAGTGGTTGCCAGATGACGCCTGGAGATAGCTGGACAAGGAAAGGCTGACTACGAGGCCGGGTAAGATGGAGGGACTGGAGGCAGCAGGTGAGAACAGCTTGTAGTTACCATGGAGACAACTAGATTCAAGGGTAAGTGTTGTGTGCCACAGTGGACGGACTGACAAGAGGTGGCGATGAGGATAAAACTGCCTCCTCCCAGAGAAGTGTTGCTGCCTTAAGAGTTCTTGGTGACCATCTTCATCGTGATGGTCTTCACTTCTGAGTACTCCTTCAGGCCACTTTCTCCCCTGAAACAGGAAATGGTAACAATACTGCTCAGCCATCATCGTGACAGCAGCAATGAAGTTGCTGTATGCATTCATGGCCTCTCTTGGAACTGTTATAATGCAATATCCTCTTAGAGGAAGATTTATGTGAAGTTAAGCAATTTGGGAAAGCAGGTTTTCAAAACACAAAGTCATTATTAGTGATATTATGGTTAATTTGTGTATATTTAGTGGGCCGGCAGCCAAGTGTTACTCACAATTCACGTCCATTGCCAGACATTTTGTATCCTCCAAATGGACACTGTGTGCTCAGAGCATTGAAGCAGTTTATCCTGGAAAATACACAAAACATTGATCACTCTCATACATTTCAGCCCTGTGGTGAGCTTCAAAGTTTATCATAAGTTCGGCTGCATTCAGGAAGATAAATCCAAAATGAGTTTCCACCATGAAAGATATTTTTGCAGCCCCTTTGAACTTGATGGTTTAGTTCTTGTGCTGTTTAGTAAGCACAGCTGAACATTGTCAGCTTGTATAGCTGTACATTCATTCAGCTGTAGCTGCTTTGGAGAGAGTAAGTAGAATAAAGATAATCAAACCCAAAAAGCATAAAAAGTATGAACAGAAGAAAATGTGTGACTTAAAGTACGTAATAATGCTGAGCTTACGATTTCAGACCAATGTTTTTCTTAAAATGTTCAGAGTATCTCTGTGTTCAGGAGGCATAATGGCAATTGGCAGTATCCTGGGGGTTGGGACTTATCAAGGAAGAGGGACAAAGTAGAAAAATAAGTGTTTGTTCAGCTACCAGACTGAAGCAGTCAAGTCTGACATGAGGTGAAACATTTCTGGCAATAACAGCAATACTTCTTCCCTTACTCATAACCATCTGCTGGTAATAACAGAAAAAACAACTCTGAGTGATCTCAACAAGCTGCAATTTGAAGCTATTAATTCTTCCGAAAATAATTAATTTATATTAACAGCTCGTGGTTTGAGCTATTGTCCCGTACCGTATATGATAGCTTCAGTGTGGGAACAAAGTGAGAGAAAAAACTTTGTGTAATGTGTGTAATGGTAGTTAGGAGGCATGCTGCCAGTTTACAGTTTCTGGATGACTGAAATGTTTGATACATTCCACAAGAAAAATCTTGCAGACTGCAGCTAAAACACACACACACACAAACACACACACACACACACACACACACACACACACACACACAGCAGACTGAACTCACCAGACAGTGCCGGCCTGCATGGCTGTGGATATAGTCATGGCTTTGTTGATGTTGTTGGTGAATACAGCTGCAACCAAGCCATAATCAGAGTTGTTGGCTCTTTCTATCACTTCTTCGATAGTTTTGAACTTCATGATCTGCTGCACTGGTCCAAAAATCTGCATGGAGGAAGAATATGGTTATTGATGTCTGACAGTAGAATTTATAGGTAAATATGTTAATTTATATACTGCATTTGTGCATGATGCCCTTTAAAATGTGCATTTGTAATGGAAGAAATGGATTTTTAAATAGTACAAAAGTGTGTGCTTAGTAATGAAAGTTTCTCTACCCCATCAAATCACAAGCTCAACTTCATTACTGTATCCTAAATAACTTTATATAACTTATTTGATTCATTTTCTGAATTCTTATAAAGAACCATTTTTCTTTCTTGATAAAACATCAACATAAAACAATGGCTTCTTAACTAAAAAGAACCATGTAACTGATTTTGATGAATTTTGCTACATTTCTTTTGTGGGTGCTCATCCTCCATCATGCCTCATTTTCACATTCTGGTGTGTCCACTCTGTAATTTGGACAGACGGACTATGCCCCCTAGTTTTCGGTGTAAGGAAATGTTTTTTTTTTGTGTGTGACAGAAGATATGAATGGGGCTTCTGACATAAAACATTTCTGATTACTTTACTGATCATTACAACCTGGTTTTGTTTGGTCACAGGCTGGTACCTATGTCATAGGCCGCTAGAGTAACAAAGTCTATTCTGTATAATAATGTATTTTGGGATATTTAGTTGATTGTACTTTGGTGTTATTTTGTTTTGAACGGAATGTACCTTCATCATAATCCTCGACTGCAATCTTGGTTACATATACCACTACACACTCATTCATAGGTATGCCATTAAAAGTGCAGGAACAACAAACCCTCCTTATCATCCTACCTCCTCTCGGGCAATGCGCATGTCATCCCTCACATTTGAGAAAACTGTGGGCTCAATAAAGAACCCCTTCAAGCCGAGAGCTTTGCCTCCGCACTCCAGCTTGGCTCCTTCGCTGATGCCGCTCTGGATGAATTCCAACACGCGATTCTGCTGCTCTCGGCTGACCTGTCGAGGTAGAAGCATGACGTAGAAAATACATGAATGACAGACAACGCGAACACAACAAAAGGGATCCTGTGTGTAAGTCGGGGATTTAAAGCCGGGAGATCCCCCACTCGAATGATCTGTTGAGCTCACCTGTGGACCCTGCTCAGTCGTGGGGTCGAAGGGACTTCCAACTATCCTCCTTTTGGCTCGCTCCACACTCCTCCGCACAAACTCCTCATATATGGGCTCCTCCACGTAGATGCGGGAGCCTGCTGTGCAGCATTGGCCTGCGTTGAAAAACACACCCTGGTGCGCTTGCTCCACAGCCAGATCCACTGAAGGACAAAGATTTTAGTCAATCAATACGTTCAGATAAAGCTGCCTATTCATTGAAATAATTCATAACCACAAAGCCACTTATTAAACAAAAAGTTTGAGCTGGTATTTATAAGGTGAGGTTTTCTTTTAACCCATCATTGATTTGGACCACAACAAAAAGAACATTTGTCCAGAAAAAGGTATGTATGTGTAGCTTTATTGAAGCTATTTGCTGCTAATCTGATACCTGACACCTGAGAGATGGGATCCTGCTGTTGCACACAAAGGGTTAACGCACCCCTGTGATTTATGGGTCTCGGCTGAGGCACCCGACTGAGTCAGGGTCCATTCTCCTGATTTACAGGCCTTAGTGAGCCCCTCTCACGCCTGTTGAAAGCATTTCAAAGCCTCTACACCCCCAGTTTGGTGAGCCACTTAGAATTTATATGAAACCCATCCATCCAGTGGTTTTCTTTGAGCATTTTAGGGAGTTCTAGTCTGAGGATGTTTCTAATTCATACAATGTAGACCTTTAGAATAAATAACTAAAATCATTTAGAAAGGACAGATCATAAAGTTATGATAACGAGGACCCACAGTCCAAAAATGAAATATGGCTTCAAAACTTACAATCTGCATCTGCAAATATGATGTTGGGGTTTTTTCCTCCCAGCTCCAGCGTTACTCTCTTCAGGTTACTCTTCCCTGCTGCCTCTTGGATCAGCTTGCCGACCTAGCAGAGGAAACATATCTGAAGTTTACTCAAAGAGATACAGGCCCACAGCCAGATCAGTAAATCAGCTGGAGCCATTAAATATCTCGAAGAGGTTGCTTAGCTCCAAACAAGGAATGCACTGGTAGGCCAGCTGAAACATGAGTTCTGCAAACACACAGAATGAATATCCATTACAGGTTTTTGGAGACAGTGACAGGAAAACAAAATGATGTTTCAGCCTGGAACAGCATCTGATATGCAGTGGAGGGCAGGAAGAGGTAACCACAAGGTGTGTGGGTGGTGTCCTGTGAAAACTGTGAGACGTTTTGTTTGGTATGAACCGGTCCTGCGTGCTGATATGAAAAACGGCTGGGGATTTGCCTGTGGCTTTTCCTTATCGTCTTATTATCCCTTCTTCCACTTCACTCCTTATCAAGAGGGATGATATCATATAACCAAAATGAAAAACAATAAATAATACATTCAACCAATTTTCCAGATAAGACATTTGGGGAAATTCTCTTTTGCTGATTAGAATCACATGTGGAACTCATTTCAAGACACAAAGTTTTAGTTTTAAATGCAGAACTTCTGTCATTTTTACAACTTTACTTCTGTCAAATGCATTCTGAACTTCTTTGCTCTGACAAGTTTAACGATTTTCATTAATTTGTCAATAATTCTGTCTTATGGACAGCAGTGCAAATGGGTTTAAAGGGTCCCCATGGGTGTTTTCACACCATGGAAATATGACTTGAACCCAAGAGAACTGGAGACGCAAAAATAATATAAATCACAAAGGCCATATATCTGTGGACCTCGTGAAAGGCAAGTTATAATGTAAAGCAGGCTTAAATCTTTGTTGTCGACAGCTTAAAACATGCAAAACAATTTGGTTTGTCCTCTATGGTAATAGAAAAGCATTCAGGAAAATACAGATAATTGCCTTATTGCCAGACATTGGGGAAACTGATATCAAATCAGAGGTGAGGCTGAAGACAGCAGTGGACAAACCCAGTGTCACATTGAGAATATTGGATATGGGCAAAGGCGATAAACTACTAGTATAATGAACAACAGAAATCTTTAAAGCACTGTCATTAGAATTTGGGATTTTGTATGTTAAGTTAATACAAAGCTGAGCATTAACAATTAAAATCAATTGAGGGATAAATTCAAGATGAAAGGTAAGAAATCCATTAAAAACCAATTGAATGTACAGTATGAAATCCCTTCTGCTTATGCATTCATAGACAGTTTTTGTCAAAGTGTTTCCCATCATTACTATCACTACTATTAGGTTTTTCATCTTTTCCTGGCAAGAAAAAGCATTCTGGGAAGCTTTGTGTGTAAAACATGTTATTTTACCCTTTGGAAAGTTAAGGAATCATGGTGAATTTCCCTGTCCTTAGGGAAATACCAGAGAAAGAAGCCAGTGGAACCCCCCACACCTCTTTGACAATCCTACACCCTGAACCAGTACTCATCTTCCTGTTACTCACACACCCTGCTTAATTTTCCAAGAGAACATGGAAGATAAAGAGGAAAAATCCCCTCTTACTGTCAAACAAAAGTATTTCCCACCCCTTACATGGAACAGACTTATCTTCTTTCACCGTTTTTGAAGAGTGTGCATCAATTAGAAAAAGCAGAATCAGCTGTTGTGCTGTGGCTTCCCCGAAGCTATAGAAAAACACTTGACTTAGCCACGTTGTTTCTGTTGCGTTTTGTCTGTCTTAGATCAGAAACCCTAAGTGGCTGACTAAGGGAATCTTTGCATGTGTTTATTCAGGGGTAAAGGAAACACGCTGTGCGGCTCCACTCTGTGCGGAGTCACAGACACATGTGATTTAGTCAGAGAGTAAGACGTGGTCCTAAAATCCACCTGTAACTATTCCAACAGCTTCCTCTGCATGAAGAGATGCTGGGCTTATTTCTATTCACCCGCATTGTTGTTACAGTGCAGTGACTCACTGTCTGGGCATTGGCAGTGTCTGACACACAGGCCCGTTCACCTAGTAATTGAGTCCAGACCAGATGAAACAACAGAGAAAATCAGTAAATAAGAAACAGGGTCATTCTCAAAGGAAACCTTCAATCAGGATGAGATTATAAAACAAAGACTATTCACGTATTAGATGGTGCTCTTACATTCGTTTAGTATATTTCTGTTATTCTGTACACAAACATGAAAAATGTATTATGTTAAAAACAGCTATCACTGGAAGTTAGTTTGATATATATTCTCATGATAATTGTATCAATAGTGAAATCGCATGGTACTGTATAAGCCACCTCTACCAGCTCCAATTTTGTTTCTGTTTTTAAATATGAGACTATAACATTTTCTCAATAAGTTCTCACTTATGTTTTTGACTTTGTGTGTTTTTTAAAGAGTGGTTGCATTTAATACAGTCTTTCAAATAAGCTAGATTTGAGCAACTGTCCTGTGACAGCCTCGATGCAAACAGTTTGAAAAAATCCCACTTGGTTGATTCCATGATGATGGCTTCCAGAGTGTAAGCACACACTCAGCACCGAGTTAGCAAAGGAAAACAGTGGTGGCCTAAGAATGATGCTTTTTTGCACCAATATGGTGCAACTGTGGATTGAAAAAAGATCCTTTTCAAAACTTGTGCAACTTGCTTGAATAAAAAAAAGGGATTGTTTTTCCCAACATGTGGTTTTGTTATGTTTGTGGTTAAGGAGTTACGCTAACAAGACCCTAATAGGATGCTGTCATGCCACATTTTGGTAAACTGAATTTATATGTGTTGCTTGCAACTGTTTGCACAAACAATTCATACAGATGGAGACATAAATGCGTAAAACAAATTTAGGGGTTATCAGCATAAATTTTGATCAGACATTTCATTAAGAAACCAAAACATGTTCATCACAGTTTTTGGACTGTGGCTTTGGGAGACAACACAGTGAAGAGACCACAGATCGACTGAACACTGTTTTCTGAGCCAAATAGCGCCAAACATGCTCATTCAAAAATGGAAAGAAAACAGTATCCTTTCAGGTTTTACCACAAACCTGTTGTCTGTGCTATGTATTTGTCCTGACAGTAATCCATCATGTCTGTACCTGTGTGGGTTTATCTGATCTGGCTCACAGCACACAAACTCTATCTATCTAAAACAATACCAGAAAAAGAATGAAACGTGAGGAAAAATCTGTCTCATGTACCAACGCCATTTATGGTGCACAAAGGCTGAATCATATAATATGTTCTCCATTTCATTGTAAGTTTAATGGTAAGTGCTTTTAACAGAGGGGGTAGTCTGGTGAAGATGAGCGATGTTTATAAATGACCTGTCGCGAAAGGATCTGCTGTCACGCTGTTTTTGCTTTCAGCCCCAGGAATCTATTCAGACCACAACACTCAACACCTTACATGGTATGTCCTTAAGCTTCACATGTACTTTAAATCTACAAAACTTTCAGTCTATCCAGTCTGGATTCCGAAAATAAATTCAATGATGTTAATGATGTGCATTAATATTGCTCAGACAGTTCAAGGAAAACAGAGAACAGGCTGTGTTTTTCGGAGAGACATACTTGTATACTCTTGACAGCACAAATATGCACGTGTGTGAGATAAAATCAGAGCCTTGTCATGAGGAGTAATGACAGGGTATGCAGCTTATGTAAGAGCCCATTTGTTTGTCATTTAGGCTTTAATACAGGCACAACATCCCCTAATTACACAGCCCGCTCTCATGTCCTGCACATGTTGGTCACTGTGTCACTCGCACTCACTGACAAAAGAGAGCAAAAAGAAACTGTTCATCAGAGGAAGAAAAGTACCTCAGTCGATCCCGTGAAAGCCACTTTGTCTATGCCCATGTGCGAAGCAATCGCAGCTCCTGCTGTTGGCCCATATCCTGGCAAAATATTGATGACTCCTGGTGGAAACCCAGCCTGTCAAAACAATATGAGAGGAAACAAGTTTTGGCGGAGATGACAGCAGGGCCAAGCATAACTACAGCCAGTGTGGAGGGAATCCGGGCCCAACCCAATGTCCCTCCAAGCAGACAGCTGAGAGAACATCAAAAAGGAGATGGCCACAGACAGAAAGTCTCCAGAAGTAGGTGCGGCCAGGGAAGACACAGGGGACACAGGGAGGATGTGGAAGCCTAGATTTGTACTACATTTTTGATTTCCAATAGATGTAGGTTTGACTTTTCAGTCCTGTTTAAATTCCATGTGTGGATGTTGTGCACAGCCACACTCACACACCGATACACATGTACCACAAACTATCTTATTCAAATCAAATACACATTTCAAAATGTTTCCAATCATGTTTTATGTTGACTCAACTGCCTTGGCTGAACTTGATGTAAGACATTATATGGTGATACTTTATATCTTTGTCCTGCCTGTCAGCACTCTATTGTGATGTGTCAGCATTTATATTGCACTGACATTCAATGTAGAAGTGAAAACTATGACCAACCATGTAGATTTACTTTCCTCACAGCTAAGCAATCTTGTCACTATTCAAATACTGGAGGAGGAACATCACTAAGTTTTCCGCATGGCTGTCACTGTCACCATCCTGACTCATTCATACTAACCATCCTGTATTGGGTCAGCTGTAATATTCATTGTTATACTACATTAGATGATACTAGCCTCTAACTCTTGGTGTTTAGGAAGCAGTCCAAATTTGCTGAGAGATTTGAAAGAGCAGCAAAACTTCAGCTTATTGTAAAATAGTTATGTTTAAGGTTAATTTCTATATCTAGAACATAGAAACAGTGTAAAGTAAGAGCAGTTGTTCAGGTCAGGGTAAACTTCTGCTACTTATATGTACGGACAAAACATTGGTTGGATTCCAACCGAGGTAGACGTGTATTACAAGCATCTCATTCTCACATCTAGTGGAAGGTGAGTGGTTGCAGGAAGAGGACAGTGGGAGCATAAAAGAGGAGACAGTCATTTGAGTAACCGGCCTTGATACCATCTGAGATGACATTTATCAGTTTCCAGAAATAATGTGCTACTTGTGTGGTATGTTCTTGAGTTAGCAGGCCGTCATTTAAACCTATAAATCACTGCAACAGCAGTACTGGTAAATATGACTGATCTCTTTAATTGACTGTGTAATTAGTCTCAGCCTGTATCCCAAATACATGAATATCAAATACTTGGATACTCATGATACTCACAAGCTAAATAATACAGGGAAAATTCAGTTTCTGGCTAAACAACACCTGCAAATGATCTGATTTGTTTGTTGGAATACCAACATTTGATAATCCAAATAAGCCACACATTGTTAGCAGAGTGACTCTAACATTTACCTCCTTGATGAGGGCTGCCATGTAGAGGCAGGTGAGCGGCGTCTGCTCAGCAGGCTTCAGGACAACAGTGTTTCCACATGCGAGTGCAGGACCCAGCTTCCACGCTGTCATCATCAGAGGGAAGTTCCACTGTGCACAGCACACACACACACACACACAAACACATAAGCCAGAAGATCATGCAACTGACACACTGGGTGGTCACAAGTCAAGTTCAATAACTCATCACTCTTAAGTCACTCACTCTCATTTTCACTCTGTCTAAACATAGTGAAGTGAGAAAATGTTCTAGGCACTTGTACAGTGTTTTCTCTTCCCACAGCATTCTGAGAAAGTCGGGAAATTGCAACACATGTGCAATAGACCCATATCACTGTTCAACACGCAGGCCTGTGTTATTTCTGCTTTACACAGGAGCCCATGGGGCTCAACGCAAAACCACACGCTTTCTGCACTCTTGCACAATCAACAGAGTCTCTTTCTCCTTGATCTTTTCCTCCTTTCTCATCATCCCCCTCCCTCAAACCTACCGAGCTAAATTCCTCCCCTCTCGTGCTTCTCACTTCTCATTCCCCATTACTCAAACTCACTGGCATAGTCATTTTTGGGGCTTACCAGCAGGATTTACCCAAATAAACAATGACTGTCATAGAATTACCGGAAAATGTAGAATGTAATCCAATAAACAGGCCTGTTTCTCTTTCAGACTCAGCCAATTCACTCTTAGCATCTTTTTTCTTTAGAATTGAAAGTCCAATTTGTGCGTGTCATTTGAAGACCGGCTTATACTCACAGGGACAATCTGTCCACAAACTCCAATGGGCTCATATCTGGTAAATGTCAGATACTGTCCATCTGCGGGAAAACACACACACACACAGAAAGAAAAGAGAGGTTACTGTTTTCCAGCCTCTGCTGAAAAGTCTGAAAAATAACTCACACACATGAAAAATGTCACCACTCGACGCCCTCGCTGTTGTTGACTCAACATGTTAATTTGTAAATGAATCCACACGCAACATTCCTGCTTCCTTAATTCTGGTGAGAGATTACGTTTCGAGCCTCCTACAACACAGGCATGTGTGTAACTGTTTTAGGTCATAGAGATGGGTGTCATGCTGGAAAGGTTTGCTCATTCTTCTTGCATTACTTGAGTAAAAGGAGGTCATTATTGAGGGTGTGCCACACTTGTTCAATTGCCACAGAAACAATTCAGATTGCGAAATGTGTGTATGAATTTATTACAACAGTGGTCAGCTGACGATTGCCTAATGTTGCATTTGGACTGGAAAGATCAGCAGAACATGACAAGCCAAATAACCGTTTCAGTGGGAAACAGTAGAAGCACGGCAATGGACGCAAAACTGCAGTAAAGGTTCCCATATGCTGCTGTTGTCCTTAATTCCAAAAGCTTTTTAAAAAAGCTGCTACCATTTACAGATTAAATCTATAAAGACATGAGATTTTCAGGAGAAACTCGAGTATCTGCCAGGCTTATGTGAAACTATGACGCCTGCAAATGACTTAGATTTCAATTTGGAACGAGCAATGTAAATGATACCAAACTGTGTAGCCAAAGGTGCACTACATAATGACAGTCCCTATTCATGTCACACTGTCTGTGATACAAATTTAATACCACAATCTCAGCTTAATGTGCAAGACAAACCGAGAGAGTTGTTGAATGTAGATGCACTGCACCTTATCCTGACATGATTCCTTACATCATAGACACTGTAGGAATGTCCCTGTTTATTTCCACTGAAAGTCTACAAAAGGAATAAAGCTTAAAGCAAAACCCTGGGAAAATGCACACAGTGGCTGGTTTGGCAGCAGTGTACAAGAGAAGCTTTGAGAAGGACAATACAGTGGTATCAGGAGGTTTCCCATGTCCTCCCTCATTCTTTTTTCTTCCTGTTGAAACAGACAGCCAACTTTTCCCTTTTACACCCCCAACTTTAACTGTGTCAGAGGGGCGATAATTTCGGCACCCACCTATGAACAATGAATGGATAACAAGTGTTTGGACAGTTCACCAATTAGTTACCTTCGTTTGTCGAATGTAATCATCTGTAAAAAACCCTTTTCTGTAAAACCCCCTCACAAAAACGGATCAAGTTTTCTATTATTAACAACTGACAAAATGACAATATGTAATGTAAAAAGAGCTGCTCACATTTACAAATCATGAAAGTATAGAGTGACTATGTTCCACAACTCTGCAAAAGCAAAATCATTTCAAAGAGTTCAAAGGAACAAGACAATCACAGAAAATAGAGTAAATTTAAATTGGGATATAGCAACTCCGTACAACTTTTATGTGACTTTTTATACCTTTTTAAAACATTTTTTTCTATTTCACGCTCTTCATAGATCAGCTGTTGGGGGGATTTGCAGGCAGGACAGGGCTCCAGCCAGTTGGCCTCTTCCTAACTCGATCACTGCGATCGATCAGTGATGCAAAGTCTGTCAAGTTTATCAGATTTGCTTGCTTAAGGTTAAGAGAATCAGCATGGTTTGACATAAAACAAACCAAGCCTGTTGTGCCAATACAATTCAAATTTAAGGTCTCGCCATTTTAATATTCTTATTCATATGTTCGTATATTTCTTGTCCTGAGCTAAATAAAACATGTTATTTTGAGAGAAACAAATATTGTGCTGTACTGAGCAGTTTAGTTTAGGATTTTGGGTTCATCATAACCCTGAACTTGCTGCTCAGGCTGTGATAATAAGCTCATCGGTCTCTGACAGGCTTGTATTATCTATGAAAAAAATATTTAAAGGATTGCTTTTCATTGTGCGATTTACAGTCATATTTCTGAACACACAATGTGTGAAGAGTTACAAATAGCAGAACTCAAACCAAAATTATTAAATCATTCTCTTATCAACTGTGTGAAATGGCTCATTTGTCTAAAAAGGTTTCTCTTCTTTCGTTTAATGGCATCACCTTGAAATATATTTGCATAATAACTGCCTAATGGGTAGTTTGGCACTCCTCAAATAAGGAATGACCCTGTGGCCCTGCAGTCCACGGCTTTGGATCGAACACCTGAATCCAGTCAGAGCAGAATGGGAGGGGGTTATCAAGAGATGGAAGCTAAAATAGTGTCTAATGCAGGGGGGTAAAAAATTAATAAATCATGTTCTTCTAAGCAGTTGTAAATAAGATAGAAGAGGGATCAAAAACTGTAAAGGACTTTTTTAATCTTCATATACCAAGATTCAATGATGTTACTCGGGTGAAGTGTTTGAAAGGGGCCTGAACACAAAAACGAAAGAATAAAAAGTCTTATCCTGTCCACCATTCTGTTGGAAAGGTTGTACCGTCTGACTGAGGAGCTGTTTCTTGCCTCAGCCGGTGGGACTACTGGATTCATCCATCACACCTAACTAAAACAGCAGCTTTGAATCCTAATAATGTGTACTGATAGTTTTTTTGTGTGGGGAAAGTAATCTTAAAGCTGAGACAAATGTGTTGCCTTTCTGTTTTTGGCCGAATTTGACTAACAAAAACATTCTTAATCTTACATGAATCAGCATATGACCAATAAAATGAGATGACAATTCTAACCAAGTTTGAATGTGAAAAACTACTTTTTTATTTATTTGTATGAAATATATCAGTGTAGACATCAGTGTTGTGCTAATGCATGTTTGACGGATATATGATTGTTGACCCAACACATCATAAAAACTTAAATGAACAAAATTAGGAATGGAAATAATCAATAGACTTTTGATATTTCATACTTTTTCATATTTAGCTTGACTTGTAAACTCATTCTGATATCCAACTTGCTTCATCCCAATATATTGTCCACGGTTATCCCTAAAATGGTCAGTGAACTTATTTGGCTTTCAGCTGTGTAACTGACAGTCTGATAAAGTACTGCAAAAGGGGCTCTTACCCATTGGAATGGAAGTACCGTGGATCTTGTCTGCATATCCAGCAAAGTATCTCAGGGTCTTTATAGTTCCTTGGAGGTCGACAAACAGGGTGGGCAGGAAAGGCTTCCCACTGTTCAGCGACTCAATGGTCTGACGAGAGATGAGGGAGATGTTTGAGAAAAATGTGATATAACCTTGTGATCTTCACATAATTCCAAACTGTTCCTTCCTTTACACTCACCCATGGGTGAAATGTGACACCAAGATAACATTAAACTACAAATACAGCTCTCTTTAAAGCAAAGCAAATATGTGTATTTTCAAATACGAAGGAGACCCAGAGAGCTTAGCAGAAAACGCAAAATGTATACATAGGACACGAGACAAAAAAGTTAATTGAAATAAAATTATATAAAAACATAAAATCATACATGAAGGATGCCACAGGGGGGGAAAAATCAAAAGAGTCAGAACCAAATCTTCAGGCAGTCTGTCAGATTGAATCTCAAATCGATTTTGTTCTTATGAATTAGAAGCTCACAGCATTCATTCACTTACTGCTAGATACACGCTGTCCCTCTCAACCAGGTCAGCCAGTTTGGCGAGCAGTCGGCCCCTCTCCGATGCATCCATTTTCCGCCAAACAGAGCCCAAAGAAAAGGCGAGCTGAGCCGCCTGCACTGCTTTATCAACGTCAGCCTGCAAGATAAAGAAAGATTCCAAGTAATTCTCACTTAAATAACTTTGTAAGTCATTCATGTGACAAGTGTTGGACATCATTGTGTGAATACTGATTCAGTATAGGCTTCTTCGTCCACAGGTCTGCTGGGATTTTTAGTTCAATTGATTAAAAATTGTGAGAGACAACATTACTGCATCTTACAGCAAAACCATCCAATCAGAAAAATAAAGTACATCTGATTTGCAAGTTTAGGGCGTTTCATATATTGTTTGTGAATATATATATATGTGTGTTCCAGCTCACCATGCTATAATCATAATGCATAATGAATAATGGATAATAATTATTCTGACAGTGCATAAATTCTTTAAGTATAAGAAGTGGGCTTCAGTTATAATATTTGTGTATTTGCTACATTTACACTTTTAAGTTCTTTACAACACTGAAACCTTCTGTATGGTGTTTTTACCTTATCTGCCTCCTGGACCTCACAGATCTGCTCTCCAGTGGCCGGGTTGTAGGTGGGAAAAACCTTCCCACTAACGGAGTCCTGCCACTCGTTGTTGATGAAAATCTGTCAACAAGTATTAGAATCATACATATCATTTTTAAAAACAAAATCAATTCAACCACATTTAACTTAGGCTTAATTGGAGTTAGTGCTTAGTTTGATTACTGCCCAATTTTCATGTCCCCTTTAGTAATTCCCCCATTGCACTGTTTCAGCTGACAGTGAAATACATGGAAATGGTGAAAAGCTAACAAATCTCAGGCAGCAGGCCCAGTATGTCCAGGCTCTTGTGTAAGCGATATATGGGAGAATCTCTGGAAATCTGGACACAGATTCCTGCCCGTCCAGCATTGCTCTCTGGGGAGTGCTCCACCATCCAGACAAAGGGGGGTGGGTAGGTGTGTGTGTGTGTGTGTGTGTGTGTGTGGTGGGCTAGGGGTGGATAAATCCCTATCAGGCACCATTCCCCCACCAAACTACCCACCGCCAAGGACAAAGACACACGTTTCACAACATCTCTGCTCGTTTACGAGATCATAAAACACGTGCTGCGCTTGGTTTCTGTGATGCGTTAAAGCAAGTCTTCCGTTAAACAACCGCCTGGGATTCCAAACAGGACCTATTCAACTTCTATTAAGAGCAACACAAAAATAAATGTTTACACTATCCCAAAACTCCCAATTCTGCCACAGACAAGCAAAAAAAAAAACCTACCACGCACTGACGAAAGATGGAACAAAACGCAAGGAGTGTCTGTTAGGATGGCAATGAAACCTCCTCTTCCTCGCTGACATGTTTAGATTCATTAGGCAGACTCTGCTCACACACTGTTTTTAATGGCTGTCAGTCTGTCTGATAGATAGAGTGCAAGAAGAACATCTGCTGGCACAAATCCCATTGTGTATTCATGTGCTCATACCATCCTTCTACTCTGATGCGCTGAGAGAAAACCTGAGAGCAGGGTTCAAGTATCCCACTGGCCTCTGCCTTCCTCAACTCCAACATGTTTACGTCAATAAACACTGGGCTTTAAGTACTATGTAATTGGCTGTAAACGGCCGGCTCTGTTTACTGGGAGACTGGTATAAAAGAAAATGCCAAGGAGCCTAAAAACTGTTGGAGTCACAAATCACTCGGCCTCCCTCTTCCTTATCATTCCCACCGCTCACTGGCTCATAATGTGGAGTGTTGGATGAACTCACATGCAAAGAAACTGAGAAAAGTTCAGTGTCTTCCTGTACCACTCCACACGTTGATTCCTCTTTATTCCCTTTGCACTGGTCAGCCCAAACTGCCACATAGTGACTTCTTTCCCTCCCAGCCGATGTAATCTCAGGCGCCCTCCATCAGAGGCCACCTTTAATCTGCTGCTCATTAAGAGCACTTCATAAAATTGTCAGTAACGATAAGGAGCAAAGGGCCCGCTACAAAAACAAAAGGTCCTGCAGAGCACTGAATTAGTTTTTCGATTTTTAGAGGCCACTGAAGTGGGTTGCCCTAAATCAGGGGAGCCCCCTGACAGTCTCAAAAGTCTGTGCAAGAATGCAGACCATGGGTAGCTTTATACATGGCGTAACCCCTTCTCACTAGATGCTGCTAAAAGGAGAAGGGATGAAGCGCGAGAACAGTGGTGCAGGCCCCACCTAAATCACGGCCAGAAAAGGACAACTGTCAGCCGCCACTTGGCTCAGGCCTCTCGCTGGGCTCAGGCTGGTGTTAGACTTTTGTCTCGTTCCATTGAAAGACTTGATTAAGATGACAGGCCAGAGTTGTAAATCAACTCTCGAGGTTTCTTAAAATTGCTTTTAGGATCATTTGGACGACGGGCAAAGAACACAAGGATGAAAAAACAAGTGCAAGGGTCCAGTTTTTCAAATGATAAATGATGTTTTCTTTCCCCTTCCCTGCAGAGTAATTCCGATCGCTTCACATGAAGGTTTCATGTTTATGAAACTCTGCTGCCACTCAGAACGCAGAATTAACAAAAAAGTGCACTAAACAATATTATTCTCTTTTCCGTGAGGCAATTCTTCATGAAGTCTACGTTTCCTTTGAAAAATCTTGGAGCGATCTCCGCTTTGTGATTTTGAACGAGCATTAACACTGACGTAAAGCTGTGATATCTGATGCCTCACTCAAAATGAGGAGGCCCGATGTTGATGAGAGCCAAGCAGTAAGCATATAGGTCAGGACTTGGTGCATGGGTCACGGGGCAGCTGCTAACATTTAGCAGCTCCCAAGCTTTTCTGCGTGTCGGACACATCGTCCAGCACGAGCATCGCCGTGGGTGACATAAAAAGATGAGACATGCTTTAAGATTGTTTTCTTTTTGTTCCTTGCACATTTCAAATAGCCTCCCGGGTTCCCTGTAACTGAGACTTTTATGCGTAATGCAATCAAATAAAGAAGAAACTTTTATTCCTCTTAGCTAAACATTGCATGATATCGGTGGCCATTAGTTCTTTCAGTGTGTATTGTAATAGGAAGTAAGAGATGCCAAACATTTTTTTTTTTTGCTGTCAACAAAACATCTGTTTGGCTCTTAGCTTCATCTCTCAGCTCAGATGCTAACGACTGAAGGAATTTGTAAGGGCCTCCTCTTATTTTCTAAAGCAGGAGGATGGGGGCAGGATTAAAGGTGTGTGTGTGTGCGCGCGCCCGTGTGTGTGAGGGTTTATACATGTGTGTTTATACGTAGATTCCACAGCCAGACAAATCCTACAGGCACCTGCAACGCTTGTCTGTGCAGGAAGTTTCATATCCTCCCCTATCGCTGGACCTCCATTTCCTCTCTGCCTCTGGATTGGTTTCAAAAGTCTTATAATTACTACTGTTACAAGTGAGCAGAGTCTGTGAAAGTGGAGAGCAGCTGGTGTTTTTTCTCCTACTCCTCTCCACATGTCTGACACCATGGAGCATTCGTGTTTTTCAGTCACACACCCACAGACAATGCCATCCCGCTCTTTTGCATTTTGGAAAGGGCGACCTCGCTGTCACTGGCTGGCAAACATCTTTGTCTCGTCAGTATGTGTGGCCGATGGGTTAAAGCTGTTCATCTCGCCTTCAAAGTTATGTGAGAAACTAAATTCAAGCTACTTCCACTTCACCTCTCTTTGTGCAATTTTCTATGCCCCAAAATGGATTTTCGCTGCGGTTTTTTGAATGCCAACGCTCTCCGCAGACCTGGTATCTACTTCGCTTACAATATCAGAATTGAAGCTACAACACTAATAAAATACAGAGAAAAACTTTCATTTGCAAGTTTCAACAGTGAAAACTGACCTTTCCAGTCAATATTGACAATCAGGCTTGACGGTTTTGACTGCCATTCCTTAAATCTCAGGTCGAGGGAGTGTAAAAAGTACATTTTTACATAGTTTTAATCAGGAGGTCAGCAGACAAAGAGGAAGTGATTTGTAAAGAAATGTCATGCTTTTTCACAGACAAATAAACACAGAGGAAACTATCTCTGTCTCTGCTGGGTCTAGTGGGCGCTGGAAAAAGAGCCCCTTCCAACAGATTTATGAATCCGAGTGCTCTTTACAATGACACCGAAAGGATTTACACGTTCTTTGTCAGGACGGCTGCAGACTGAAAGTATGGGGAGTTAACGGGGTAACCTCGCTGTCACTGCTCTTCCTTAAAGAGTGATTAAGAGACGGGGGACACGATGTTGACGTGTCTGCTAAGACGGTAATTTACACTTGCAGCACAAGTAGGCATTTCACACCAACGGACACATTAATGGCACTGCACACTTTCCCTGTCACAATCAAAGAGATGTGTGCGAGAGAGTATGTGACCATGTGTGTGCGAACAAGAAGGTTGTGTAAGCAGAGGCAAAGCAGGGCGGGAGGAGTTCTCGCTGCGCTGGTCGCAATAAATCATTTAGCTGCACAGTATCCTCTAACTTTGGCTCTGTTTGATCTCGATCGCAGTAAGATGGTGGTTTTGAAGTGAAAAACTCCAGGACTGCAGGTCAGGCTCTGGCGAGGCAGGGCCACTAACCCACACAGTAAGACAGGGTCATAATTTACACCCCGGTGGACAGCACCTAACATCGGGGAGCCCCGAGCCTCCATCTGTACTATCTCAATCAGTGACAGATTGATGGAGCCTCTCCTTCATCCAAACTGAGAGGACGTCTCTGCATAGACTGCTCTCCAAACACACGGGTCCTCGGCCGAGAGACTCTGAACGGGGTCCTATGGTGAAAGTGCACTATTGCCACCATGAGCAAAGCAACAAAGATTATTTATAACTTTAGATTAGATTACGAGATCTGTAACTCACTCAGTGAATGAGGCCACCGACTCAGAGTCTTCAATCTGGTGCCTGTTAGCTCTCTAGATTTGTTGTGTGTGTTTTTTTTCAAAGGTATTATCTAATTTGAGTTACAACATCAAATAAATAAACATTTTTATTGCCTTAACCTTTGCTAAATATTCTAACAGATTTTTTTTAATTAAAAATTCCCCCACATCTATTTATCTGTTTAAAAAAAACTGAACATGGACCTTTTTTCCTAACATAAGCCAAAAACTAATTATAAATAATTAACAAAGATCATGAACTCTTTTTCAAGTGGAAAAGCAGTAAAGCTCAGCTTCTTTTTCTCCTCTATTGTTAAATTCATCCCACTCAGTGTCTGGTTTAACAAGTCATTATCACTGAACAGTGTGAAAACCCACAAAGACCAGAAGTATCACTTGCTAAAAAGACCAGAACCTTCCTCTGAATTATTCATGCAGCTCTCTCTTCCTCAATCATGCCACAGGTGAAAAACATCAATAAATATCTATCATCACTCTAATATTTATGGCTCCTTTGTAGTCCTAGCAACCTTTAAATTGTTTCTTTCTTCTAGCTGCTGGATCTTTCGGAAAAGTGGGGGTGGGGTATAGGGAAAAAAGACCACAGCTAACAGCCATGGCCACAAGAGAAAGTTTGAATTAAAACTCCAAATGTATTTTTTTAAATGTGTGCAAGAAGAAGATACACTGTACAATAACAAAATAAGACTTTGAAAGGTGAGCAGGTCTAGCTAAAAGTACATGGGGCAAACCTGAAATGCATTGATCCCATTTTATCACATCCTTCTCGGTTATAGAAGGCATGTGGCAAGCCATGATTATGTATCAGCCATATATCTGTAGGGTCGTCTCATGGATTCTTTGCATTATAAAACGGAAAAGCCACTGTCTCATACGGACTTAAGGTCGGCAACACTTAAAAACCTTAATCAAGTTATAATAATTTTATATTGTAATGCTAAAAATATAATATACATAGAAATGTTTAAAAAAAGATATCTGAAAATAAAGCCAGTGTCAGCGAACAATGCAGGCTGTTTCCCATGCAGTCAGCAGGGTGGAGAAAAGGAACAGGGTGTGAGGAGAGTCCTCGCCAGGGGTGCCCATAAATCAGGGCCCTTCTGCCCCCTATGTCCACCAAGGCAACAAGGACTGGATGATCCAAATTCCTGGGGGTTAATTCACCAAGTCGCTCCCTAAATTTCCTCCTGTACACCGTTGCTTCCACTCCTTTAGCTAACACTCTGCAGGCGGAGGGAATGCTGGGCTCCCACCAACACAGAGCCCATACAGCGTGCACCGTCCCCTGTGCAGCGGCGTGCCCTTTGCACCTAAAACTCTGAGTTACGTGTTAACACGGACCAATTATTGCAGTGAATGAACTTCAACCACAGTGCCGTTAATCTGCACTTTATGAGAAGTGCCCTTTTATCGTGCAATCATAAAAACACTTGCTCTGCAGCTCGAGGACCACTTTGGTGGCAGCAAACTACACAAGGCTGCATCCTGACAGAGAGAGCTGATGAGAAAATGTCCTCCTAAAGTTTATTAAAAGATTCCGACATGAAAGGCCCGATCAAAATCTGAAGATGTTAATTTACCTGAAGGTGTAGGTCAGGGTTTTAGTTGAGTTAAAAAAAATTCAAAAGACACAAAGGACCAGATATGTTATAAGATATTTGGCATACATTTTTTTAGGTGCGTCTTTTTATTTCCATTCATTCTAGAAGTAATATTTAAACTGCTGCCCTCCTTAAGGCTTTAAGACTTTCTTATATATTATACTGTGTTTATTTTATTTTCTCTATGATTCATAATATAAATCAGATAAGTTTGGTATTTTTATTTGACTCATTTATCTTTCTCCAGCTGTTTCTGAATCTCTTTTCTCTTACCCATGCACCTCTGCAGAACAGTCCAACTCTGAGAACACATTTCTGACGACACGCATTATTACTCCAAACAAGTTATTCACTAAACCAGCTTCGTCTTGTGTAATGATGAGACAATGCCTGATTCAAATCATAAGACTTGATGAAGTTTTGGACCTTAGAGTGTTTTCATCACCAATGCCATAAAAAGCTAATCCACAAAGAGCAGGCAGGGAGGGTTTTGGTTATACATTTTCTTCTCCCCCTACTGAGGCCTAATATTAATGAGCGCCAATATAATCACAGTAAAAGACGTGACTGAATACAATAAAAGTACATAAAATCATAAAGGGGGCAAAAGGAAAAGACAGTCAAAGGTTTCATTCCAGTTTTGCAGATTTAATCATGCAGTTTTATAAGTGACCCTTGAGTTACTTTCTTTATGGACCAATAAAAAACATGCATTTTATAAATTGCTTTCCCACGCCATAACCTGAACTTCTGTCGGCCTGTGTAATCACTAAAGCTGCAGTGTGTAATAAATGTAGAAGAACATAACACTGAGACCACGTGACTCATTGTTGTAATTTCACTTCACTCGCCGTGTTTATTAAAAACACGGACACACCCTTTAAATGTACGTTATTAAACGCCATCAATTAGAAGCATGTGCTTAGTCAATGACTTTATCAAATTACCACAACTATGTAACGGTGCTGTTACGTAAAGAAAATGGAAAATCCTTGAAAGAGCCTTGATCAGGTTAACAAATAAAGTGCTTTCTTGAACATAAAAAAACATCTTTGGTTTTCATTTAAAAGTGCTCTATTTAAGGGTCACGCGTACTTTTTCTGACTTTAAACACTTTCCGGGCGTTATGGATGATATAATGTTGATCTACACTGAGCACGTGCGAACGTAAAAAAAAGGAGAGAGAGACAGAGAGAAGGGGGTGAAAAAAGATAAGAAAAATCTCTCACAACTTAACCGTGCAGTGGTCCCCGTGGCAGGACCAACTGATCTCAAAACGTGACTTGGTTTTTTTTTTTTTTTAGTTTAAATGTCCGTTTAAGTTGGAAGTCTTTCCGCGTGCCGCGCGAGCTGACGCACGGACTCAGGAAAGTTTCTGACAGGTTTTTGTTTTCTCGCATGCAGTGTGTGGAGCTTTACAAACCTTTGTGTACTTGATCTCGGGATTGGGCACCGGGGAGGGCATCAGCTGGAGGGATGCCATGAGGGCGGCGGGGTCGCTCTTCACCTCTCCGGGGATCTCGATCTTACTGGAAGTCATCACGGCTGTCTCTGCGCTCTTCTGTCTGTCTGTGTGTGTGTCTGTGTGTCTGTCTGTGCGTGCTGCGCCTCTCTGGGTTTTTTCAGCGGATTTCTGATTGGAGTTTTGGGCTCCTTCCGAGGTTTATAGCCAGGTGTCGGCCGCGGTCCATTTTCATTGGGCAGAAAAGGAAAGGGCTGTCCTTTTGAAAATTAAATTCAAGCATTTACATAAAAGACCTCAGCCATGCGTGTTGGAGAAGGAGGAACACATCCACCCCACCCACCTCACACACACTCCCGGTGCACTCGGGCTCCTCAGTTTGCTCTCGCTCGCCAACAGTTGACGCTTTTCCATAGTTATTCATAGTTTTACATACCCAAATATCACGCTTTAGAGCTCCCCGCAGCGCACTGCCGCAGTGGTCTGGAGCTGCTTTGTGCGGGGTTAAGCTCACTCAGTGGGCCTAGAAATAATGAGCCAGCATCAACGCAGAGCCAGTTTTAAAATGATGCAGTTTGCAGTTGGATGTAGAAATGGATCCTCTGGGCAAACAGGCGGCCGGAGGCCCAATATTCTAATGAAGCCCATGGGCTGCCATTTGTTTTGCAAAGCAATCTCTGCAAGGTCCATTTCGGAGCTTTAGGGCTTGATGGAAAGATCTTTGTGTTGTCGCGTGTTCAGACTTTCCAATTATCTGAGTCATTCATTAACTAAGGTTCAGTTTCGATAAAAAAGTTAATCCAAGTTAGTTTTTTATTTAACTTTTGTGCAAACTGTTAAAAGGGGGAATCTTACACCATCACTAACCATTTCCTACAAGTGACATAAAGGCGTCCCACTCCCTTTCAGCTCACTATCACCCCGTGGGTTTATTTGCCTAACACAACCTCCCCACGGCCCGGGATGTTATGTAAATGTGGGCTGCTGCTTGCTGGGGTGTTGTTGGCACAGATTTGTCCTGCAGGTGATAATTCCTTGCAGCGCCTCCTTTAAACCCCCCAATAAACATCCGCGAAAAGGCTGCGTGGGCCTGTCTCAGGAAAAAAAAACAAAGAAAACGAACACCAAAACGTTCACGTTACACATCCACGCAAACTAATATGCTCCCATCTCAGTGACATCACTCAGACAGGGGCAGTTTAATAGTAAGTAAGGAGGTTATTAGTGTTTGTGGATCACAGAGCCTATTTGCAGAAATGTTATTCAAAGTTGGAAAGATCCAACTTGAAATAAAGTTTTGAAGCCATCCACGTCCTCAAAGAGGCAGCTTGTGAAGTAGGCCTAATGTTTAAATTCCGGATTACGAAACCCTGGACAAAGGAGACAGATTTCAGTCCATCATTTGCAAACCCCCAGAGGATGCTTTTTCTCTATCAACACGTAACCTTTTTTTTTTTTTTCACAGCATGCGCGACACTCTCCCAGTGTCTGTTTCACATCAAAGAGGACGAGCAAGCGTCCGTGACATTGATGAATGCATTCAAAACATCCCGTCCGCAGCCTGTCGCCTCACCTTTTCAAAGAGCACGGCAAACGGGAGATAAGACACACCGGGGAGACTGCGCTTTACGCAACGCTCCAAACGTATTCATGGAGCTCCCTCTGTCGGAGGCAGCGGGCCTCGGACAGACCGCAGTCCGAGCCTGACCCTCTGGGGCTGACCATGAGTCCCTGGAAAGACAACACGCAACCACAAAAAAAAAAAAAACGGGGTGGACGGTAAGAATAAATGTATGCCGGTTGGCAAACGTGTAAGAGAAGAAGAAATGTGAGGTAGAAACGGTGGAATATGACAGCAAGAGGAGTGAGAGTCTCCCCGAAAATCTCTGAACCAAAACGTGATAAATGATGGACACAAATAAAGAGCCGTGGATGTTTGATTTTTCTTGCTTTATTAGAAAAAGGAACAAATAAAAATCCAGCCTATACACAGAATACCATCCCAAATTGTTTTAGTTTTCTTATATTTATCATTATCATGATTATTATTATTAATATAATTGTTGGTCTCAGACACCATGCTATAACTCCAGGGCTCCATGGTTTAAAAAGTCTTAACAAAGCCTCTGCTCCTGGTTCTTATAAATAAAATCAAAATCTATATTTAGATATTTTAAAGGTTTTGCAAGTTTTATTGAATAATTTCTGGTTCCAGCCATCAGTTTATTGACCCGGTCGAATCAGATTATCCAGTTTGGTGATCTTATTTCATATATGTTTCTTGTCATTCAAAACAAAACAGAAAATGTTCTGAATAAATATCAAATGAAGCCAAAATTTTAAGTTGCATGGATTCTCAACTGATTTAAATCCGTGTAATCTACAAAATATGAACCCAAAAGCACGGTGGGTGTTAAAAATAAACAAAAGCCAGCATCGTTAGTCTGTCCGGTGAGATATAAAAATCCACCCAAAGAATCTCAAAAAATGAAGAAGAGAGATGAATGAGTCTCGTGTTGCTTCATTATTTGTGCAAAAGTGTGAAATGCAAATCTTGTGCGTTTAATCTCAGGATTACCTGTCTTGTTAAATTACTTTCACCTTTCACTAAACTTTCTGAGTGTAAATGCATAATTTGTATTAGTGGCTTTCCTTTTTCTTTTCTTTTCTTTTTCTTTTTCTTTTTTTTTCCCCTCTGAGCGAAATTCCCATTCATAAATTCTCCATCATTAAACTCAGCAAACTCAGTACATCAAAAGTATATGCATAGCCTCTACTTTTGATACATTAAAAATGTATTTTTGGATAGCCTAACTGATCAAAATGCAGTTAAATCCTCACCCTGGGCAGACTGGTGTCAGGTACATGCCCTGCCACCCTTCCAGAGAGTGGACCTGTTTCCACATGATTAAAACGTTGAAACGTGAACGCAGTCAGCATCCAAACACTTTTCGGCAACTTGCACGCCTGGGTTTGCAGTGCACGGGTCTCAGCTCCTGTTGGAACAGAAGTAGACCCCTTGTGGCTGCGCAGGGGAACGGATGCAGAGGCTTAACGAGCCCGTCCGCCGCACGGTGTGAGCGCACCGAGTGGGAGGCGACAACCTGCCCCGACTGCCCCACCGAGACTCCATCACAGTCCTTAGCTGTTTGTTGTGGTCGGGAGAAGACATCAAGGAGACGCAAGGGGGGAAAAAAATGGAAAATGAAAGCCTGAGGAAGATGAAGGAGAAATTTGGCCTGAGGCAGGACATCTTGAAGGAGTTCCTCGCTGAATTTCTGGGGATATTTGTCCTGATAGTGAGTACCTCCCTCTGCACCTGTCATCCAGCTTAGACATCCGCTTTAAAGTTGTGAAGCAGTATGTAAATAAGCTGTCAACTCAAGTGATTGCTGCCTCTCCAACCTCTCAATTAACAGACAGAATACTGTTAAGATAGAATCTCTCTTTTTATGTGCTTGGCTGTAAGTTATTCCTGACAGACTATTTAGATCACAACAATGTGAATGATGTAGAGTGGCACTACATTCAAGTCCTCACTATTCATGCAAAAGTGAAGGTCTTCTTTTTAGAAAAAAAAAGACAAGCAAATATAATTGCAAATATTTGAAGAATTTAGTATTTGAACACCAAAATCTAATATAGTGATTATGTGAAGTTACAGACATTTCTGGATCACTTTGTGCAGAACAGTTAACTACCTTATTTTGTGCTTTCTTGTCCTCCACTGAAGGAGTCTGTCTGTCATTATGTGCTCCTTGTCTGAAGTGTCCTGGCCTCCACCTGTCAGCCTCTGAGCTCCACCTGTCACCTTTAAGAGTCTGTGGCCATGCCTGCGAATGCACGTCTGAGGAAAGACGCAGCGTCCACAACTCTTTATTTTTTTTTTTGGATGACTGCTCTGGCCTCGACACTTTCTCCACCTCTAAATTACTCATGGCTTTCCTTTGATACGTGGGGGTTATCATTGTTTTGGGTTTCTAGCTCGGACAAATTGTCTGTGGCAGTCCGGGGGCTGTTTGTGGACAAGAAGCCTAGTGTTAATGGCGGGTGTAATTGGAATAACTAAAAACAATGAGCCTTTCTGCCTCCGCCCTTTGTGTTTTTGTTCACGTCTGTGTCCCAGCTCTTTGGATGCGGTTCAGTGGCCCAGACAGTGCTGAGTAAAGGGGCTCTCGGGGAGCCTCTGACCATCCACATTGGTTTCACTCTGGGAGTCATGATGGCTGTCTACATGGCGGGGGGAGTGTCAGGTAAAAGTAACACACCTGTGCAGCCAAATTGACCCACACAATCAACTCTCACAAGTCCAGAGACAAATAAATATCCCATTATCAGGCACCTTGCACATTATTTGAAATTCAGATCTTTGCGTCAGCACAAAAATGTTTTTTGATGACTCAGCAGAGATGGAAACAGACTTCATGGGTATGTTCAAAAACGTGAAGGACTCATTTAGAATATGTTTTTTTTTTTTTAAACCTGACTATTGACTTCGCTGCTATAAAACAAAACAAGAAATTGTCAGGCCAATACAAATATACTTTCATTTCCTTTACTGGGTTCAACAACACAACGACAGTTCACTCTGAATGATCTTTTTGCAGCTTTTGGCAGGTTCAAGCTGGTACCAAACATCTTCTTAAAAAGCGCTTCACTGTGTTGGAGATGCAATCTTAGGTCTGGTGCCCTCTCCTCTCACTCTCCGTTTCCTACTCCCGTAAAAGAAATCGATAGCAAAGCCTCCGTTATCGTCTCACATTGTTACACTCAGCAGAGCTGTGAGGAGCTGAGAAGTTATGAAATGCCGCTTTCTATCTCTTGGGCTTTCTGAGACAAGAATGGTGAGTGTATGTTAATCATTAATGAATGTATTCAGTACGTGAAGGTGGTATTGTACAGAGTTGTTGTATAGCTGCTACTCCTTCATACCCCCATGGAGAAGAAAAAAAGATTAAATGTAGCATTTGATGGCATGATGGGAGATGAAAGGAATATTTAATCATGTGTGAAAGAGGAGGGTGCAACCTTATTCTCTCCAGTGGTTGGCCAGAACTTCTAAAGCTGAGCACTGCCACCTCATTGGTAAATCTGCACGACAAACACGACTGTGTGAAGAAACAATGCAATATTTTCTGATAACATCACAAACTTTAACAGTTAAATACGCACTGAAAACAAAACAAGCTCCTCTCCCCAGAACAGTGTCCTAAAACTCCGTTTGACAAACCGCAGGTGGTATAACTGAAGAAATGAAGCTATTTTCATATAAAATCTTCACAATAAAATGTAGCCGTTATTTGGTTATGAAATTCGATCTACGTGCTTTATAAGAAGAGTTGCAGAGTCAGAAGAATGGCAGAAAAGCCCGAGGACAGAGAGGTTAATATATGGAGAGCTTTTGCTGCATGACTGGGCCATTCATCCCTGGGGTCCACAGCTCTGTGGGAAGCTTCTGTCCAACGACATCTCTGAAGATGATCATAGGTATTGGACTAATGAGCTTTACAGGGGCATGGGTCTCTGGAGATGAGGGGGGTCAGGTGTGACAAGCCCGGCTCTCTGGGCTTCCCTGGCAGAGTGGCCCCAAAGGAGAAGAAAACACAATTGTTTTCACTTTGTAGTCTGAGATTTTAGATGACAGTGTACCGTAAGTGTGACACATCATGGTCACTCTAATGACCCGCGGTCTACGTGTGCCTTAAGCAGATTCAGGCAGATTATGTCAGATGCAATTCAGACAGGCAGGTCTGGCTGGTTTTCGTGGTTAGTGTTTGTGAACAGGATGGGGAGATTAACAATGGGCGCATGGCTGATACCCCCAGTGGTGTTACCACATCGAGGTCAAAGCCAAGATCCCAGAGTGTTAAATAAATGACCCCACACTGCCATCACAGCCCAGGAACAATTGGCTGGAATGTGTTCAACACGCCTCTTTTGGGACAATGCAGAACGGAGGAAAACAGATCTGAAGGGACACAAACACAGAATCCCAAGCACTAAGGAAAGTTGCTGACTCTGTGATTTTGCTGCACGCGGAATAAAAAGAAATTCCAAAGGAGCTTTGACACAAATATTTTATTTTCAGTTTACAGTATATTCAGGATGGTGAACTGAACTCTTTTGCTGGGAACATGAATAAAAAGTTTTTAACGAATTAATGTTTTTGTACAGAAAATGTTGTGTTCTCTCAAAACTGTTAATTCGTAATTTTAAACTTTTCCTAGCCTGTTATACTGTATGGAGCAGAGGGGATGGTATTTTTTTTGCAACTTTTGCTGCATTTAAAGACTAAACTTATTTGAAGCTTGATGTTCTGAAAGCAGGACTTTAGGATTGACATTTATGAGTGTATGTTGAAAATGATTCAATAGGTAGAACAACCAAGTTATCTGGTTATAAAGTCATGAAATCTTCTAATAATACGGGTTTTGCTATTGTTGATTTAGTGTTACATCAAAATTCGGAACTATTCCTTTCATGCTTTTAATGTTTTTCTCGGTTTTCTCTCACCATCCAAGGAGCCCATGTGAACCCGGCAGTCTCTCTGGCCATGGTGATTCTGGGCAAGCTGCCTCTGAAGAAGTTCCCCGTGTATGTGGTGGCACAGTTCCTGGGGGCTTTTGCTGGGTCCTGTGCAGTCTATGTGTTGTACTATGGTGAGTGTGAACTCAAAACCCAGAGTATTAGTTCCAAGTGACAAAATAGAGCAATTCACATTTACCATTCACTGATGGTTAGACGGTAGGGCTGCATTATTTAGGATGCCACATCATCATATCCCCTTGAATGCCATTTAGAACTATACTATATTTTGCATATGCACAAAATGTCTAATATCTCTGAAAACTCACCTCACTATTAGGGGTAAAAAGGGAGCACACCTCCAGCCTTTCCAAATCATAGCATTCACAACTTTTAACATTTTTAATGAACTAACATTAACAGGTCCAGTAGTCTAATGACTTCCACCTAGCTGTGAGTCTGTCCACAGGTTAAGAATAAGGACAAAAATACAGGTTTGGCAATGATGTGCATCACCTTGGTTGTGCAAATCTTTATACAACACAACAAGGCAATTAAATACAGAACTTTCTCACAATGTCCACTGCTGCACTGCAACATTTTGGACTCCTGGTCAAAGCAACTGCACGCCCCCTTGGAAGACTGCGCTTGTATCAGTCAACCAACATAAGATGTGCAAATATATATTTTTCCAAAATGTCTCTTTTACAGATGCTTTGATGAACTACACCAAAGGAGAGCTGGCTGTTACTGGTGAAAATGCCACAGCCAACATATTTGCCTCTTACCCTGCAGAACACCTCTCAGTACTGAACGGGTTTGTTGATCAGGTGAGGTTCTAAAATTGTCATTTATATCTGTGATTTAAATAAGAATGACTCACAGACATGGAAACTGGTTTAAAAGACTCAACCCTGTGTTTAGAATACAAATGTGTCTTGAATGCACTGTGACTGTGACACAGATAGGCAGAGATTTAATTAAAAATGCTCTCTGAGCATACTATATGGCATTTTGATGTGATGGAAACAAAATAGGAAAAAATGAAGGACAGTCAATGAAGGTTGGTGGAAATAAATTCCAAACACAAGAACCGAAGCCATAAAAATATAATTGAATTACATGAAATAGTTAATCAATTGTTTATTTAACCCGAGAGACAACCAGCTATGTGTTTATTTTAAATGTTGTGAACATTTTCAGTTTTTAGGGGCTAATTATGCAGAGCTGCCTCTTCTTTACATTCAAATACTGACAACAGTGAAACAGCAAATATAATCCATCAGAAAGAGTGGTGTATATTTAACCCACTAAAGCACACTGAGATCTACATTAGCCTGTATTTAGTGCAGTCATGGGCATTGAAGTGAGAGGGAATAGACATACATTTTTTTGCGGCTATATAAACAATTATGCTTTGATGCTGAGAATAACTACCATCTGTTCCAGATGCATATGAGATTAGAAGAACGTATCATACAATTCCCATCCATGCTAGGAATAAGTCGTATAGAAAATTAATGTTGTTTTCAAGTAGAACAAAAATAGATCACAGATTAACTTACATTTAAACATAGTTATCAATGAAGATATCTGTGCAGGAATAGTATGTATAATAGTATAGTATGTTTGAATAGTTTGGTTTGATGAAACAGTGTCCAACCTGAAGTAAATGGAACTTTTAAAATGGAATTAAAAATGCAGATTTTTTTGTTTTGTTTAATCGGAACTCAAGGGAAAGGGAAGCCCCTTAATGAGCTCAAAGAAAACACAAGGCAGAAGTCACACCTCTCACAACCAAATAGAGCAGATAAGGCAAACTTAAAAAGGAGTTTGAACGCATTTCCTCCTCATCCTACAGGTCAGCGTTAATCTTACAATTTTATTGAAGGTGACCGGTTGATTTGTGTTCAACCTGTCCACTTAAAGTTTGTCTAATTCACTTAGGTTATTTTCCAGATTAACAACATGATGACTGTCTTCTGTGTCTGTTTTTAAGGTAATTGCAACCGGGGCCCTGATTTTGTGCATCCTGGCCATCACTGACAGGAAGAATATCGGCGCCCCAAAAGGCATGGAGCCCCTGTGCATCGGCCTGATCATCATGGCCATCGGAGTGTCCATGGGCCTGAACTGTGGCTATCCCATAAACCCGGCGCGAGACCTCGGACCCCGGATCTTTACCGCTGTGGCTGGGTGGGGCATGGAGGTGTTCAGGTAGATTTTCCGATTCAGAAATCAAGCGTTATCACACGTAAAGTAATGTTTGGGAATGTTGAATATACAGGGCATGTGTTGGGATGATCGAACATTGATATCCCAGTCCCAAAATACCCAATATACTGTTTGTGTAATGTCGGGAATTCAGTGTTGAACCATGGGGCTGCTCTGTCTCATCCCACACGAGGAACTGCATTTCTGGCACCATCTCTTTTCACACCACAATCTAAATGAATATTTCAAAGGCGATCTGAGCATTCCCTGAATTTCATGTGAACTGGGACTCACCATGCATATAAATATGAAATATTCAGGACTTTGTATGCTCCATTATAAGTTCCCCGGGCTCTCTCCCTAAGGCAGCTGGTTCTCATCGAGTTTTGCCATAATAAGCAAATGCTCACGTGTCTCAAATGGTCTTATTATCTGACAATTGAAGTATAACCTCTTTAAAAATGTCTAAAATCGAAATAAACATAAACATACTTTTATTCTTCAAGGATTTCCACCATTGGTAGTACTATGGAGCTTACATAAGTCTTGTCTAAAGCCAACTAATAATTGTTTTGTATTTTTCTAGGACTTCTAGTTTTGAATCCGTATAATTTTTATGTCCATGTATTTTTTTGTTCTGTCACTTGATCAACACAGAGAGAACTCGGCACACCGTTGACTATCGACCCTGAGGGCTACTCATTGATAGAATTTTCTTGAAGCCGATGTTGGCAGATAGGACTATACCGTGAATTATATGTTGAGAGATATTCGATCCATCTTTAAAACCAGGTAATGAAGCAACCAGTAAAACAGAGATCTCAGTTAGGTGTACAACCCCCAAAAGAATTAATAATAGAGTCACACTTTCCATCTACCGTCACCAAATTGTACATTTCACACTGAATGTTGCAAACGGGGGAAAGGGACAGTGGACTTTGTCCAGTGTGCAAACAAAGCCGCTATCCTGCACATAAAATAACAGTTCTCAGCGGCACGCTCAAAAGTCCTAGATTTCCAAATTATAGAGGCAAATTTAGTCTCAGCAGTTTATTAATGGGTTTCAGTTATTTGTCAAAGGCTAAAGAAGGTTTCACAGATCTGTGACCTGGACAGAGCCCCCACAGTCCTTCCTAATGCTCATTTTCACTGGGCAGAGTCTGCTTGTCACCATCTTGATTTAGCCGTTAATTCCAACGGAAGTAAAGCAATGTGTTTCATGAAAGGTTGGAAGACATTCCTCTGGTCGCCCTTGTCAGGCTCTCTGTTTTGATCGTTGGTAAATACGTGCCGTTTGTGCCTTTGCCCTCGGTGCCCGTCATCCTTGACCCTCCTCTGGACCAATCTTTTTAACCCCTGCCCCTGAAAGCGTCTGTGCATGTCATTGCTCAAAAGCATTGAGAGTGGCTGTTATGGTTGTCAAACTAAGAACAAAACACAGCTTTGATAATAATGGCACCTTTAGAATGGCCACATAAGCACAGGCCTGAGTTAAAGGACTTTTCAATACAACTGAGGATTTTCAAAAGCAGCGTTCTTGAGTTAGCTTGAAAATAACACAGTATGAAGTGAGCGGAGTAAATCTAAAGGCTTGGTATGTTAAATACCGACTTTCTGATGCTGTCTGTGCCCATACCACATCTTCAACTACAGCCAGATGTCTCATAAAGTAGGACTTTCCAAATATAGAAAGATTGCTTTAATGCATATGCAAGCTCTTAGACCTACTAGGATCTTATCACATAAATAGAAAATCTGGCATAATCCTTTACATATCTGATGAAAACTAATAAAAAGGCCCTGATGTTAGGCTCAGTATTTCCGGAAATAACATTTCTTTTCGGCACGTGCACACAACTTCAGTGTGACCTAGTGAGAGGCTGTCTCCTGGCCTGATCATCTTAGCTGTGGCTATGGATTAAAGTCTGTAATCCAGACGTCTCCCTCCTCCAGTCTGTGTCTTTTGTGCCAACAGAAGATAAACACGACCCGTTCAGGTTCGGCTTTACTCTCATGCATCAACCTTTTCCCTGCCTGTTTAGCCAGGTTGATTTACCACACACTGTAATCCCTCACAGACTTGTTAAACGAGTTGGTCTGATGGCAGCCAGAGTGAAAATGAGGACATATGTCTAACAAACAGAGCTTCTTAGGAAATTACTGTAATCTGGGATAATCGTGTACAACTTGACTCTGCACGATGACACTACTTTAGGCATACTGAAGTGATGAGGACAATATATAATTTAAAAGAAATGAATGTGCTTTATAAATTCTATATTAATGCTAAAATGTCTTAGAGACTCCACACACATGGCTTACCACTGTAGGAGTTTTAAAATGAATGTTAAAAAAGCCTGATTTCAGATGGGTTCAACAAATTAGAATAATGCACAGGCAGAATTAATCAGTTTTGCAGTGATCAAGAATCATTATAATGTGCTGGACAGAGGTCACTGTGCACAGCCTGTGCCTGTTTCTGCAGTGGTAAACCCCAGCCACCATTGCCCCAGTGGTCAGGGCCTGTTCTTGAGCCTCTAAGATTAATACCTCTATGCTGTCCTTCAGACCTGCCTTTTTGTTCATTGGTATTATCCACTTCTTCAGTATGTTTGTGATGCCAGGTAGAAACCCTTTGTTTTGTGATGGTTCCCCATTCCTTTTTGTCCCCACTTTCCCTGTGTTTCAGGTGCCTGACACACTCACATAGCAGTTCATCACGGGGGAAGCCATCTTGATGTTGTAATCCTGGATAGGCTCTGACACTTACTAGCCCATTGCCGCCTCCTTTTCACACAGTATTCAGTCTCAGGGCGCTGGACTTAGTGTGAGCCCGCCGTGCATTGTTCAGGGCTTTATTGTTTTGATATCAGTGGCTTCTCTCCCCAGCTTTGGGCAGCAGTGTCTCTGAAGACTGGCTTAAACCTTCCATTCAGCTGATTGCTATGGACCTGCCTTACTGTTTGTTGGTATTTGGTTGTGGCTTATCGCCTTGTTGCCTCCTCAAAGTTGCCATTTGTAGGTATCTGTAGCTGCCCTCAACATCTTCAACGTTTGATAAGGTGGCCCACACAAGTTCAGCTCCTTCAGTAATGGTCACCTTCCCTCTCTCTGATATAATTCAGCCATGATTATCTAGTGCAAATACCATCCCAGAATCCATACTGACTATCCTGGTGAAGCGTATCAGTGAGTCAGTGTCTTACTCAGACCTGGCATTCAGCTTTGTGTCACCCCTGCAGAGGAGGTGGCTGATGGTTGCTCTGGTGGCTGAAGGGCTTCAGGCCTTTCCAGTGTAGCAGAGAGCACAGAGCACCATGCTTTATATTCATTTGTGCAATCGGCATGGAGTTGGACTCCAGGGTAGTCCTCCACATTGAGTTCACGGTGAAGGCTCTTTGTGTCTTTTTTATTCACGCAGATTTATTTTGCTGTAATGTCTTTAGCCAGCAGGTGCATGTCATGTCAGGGTCTGGTACAGTCCAGCTCTTTATACTTGAGACTCGTTCTTACTTATCTGTTAATGTGATGGTCACTGGTTTTTGTGCTTCTGGGAATTGGTCAATCACTGAGTGTACACTTTGGATGGCTCAAGAGAGAACATTGACTTTGTCCTATCTATACTTTGTATTAAGCTAATATTAGCATTAAATGGTTAGCAAATAAAAATGGTAAGGTCTCCCTTAAACTCCTCATGAAAAAAGGATGCAGCCAGCTGTCTTAGGTTGTGGATAATGTAAATGTTCAAAAGTTAGGTATCATTTTAGTCTCTTTTGTCCATGAGGTAAAAGGAACATTCAACATGAGCAGATTGAAACAGCTGATCAAAGTTTTATTTTGGTATTCAAACTAAAAGAATAAAACAAAAACAAAAAATACATTTATATTGCATTTTTTCTGCATATGAACTCGACAAAGTTCAGTTAGAGACAGAAACTCCTTTTTCAAAGTGTGCTGTTCGGGATTGTAGTGCGAGATTGTGGCAAAGGTTTGAGATGTTCCATTTTAGTAAACGACTGTTTAAATAAAAGCACTACTGTTGCATGGGTTTCTGTATTTTGTAATAGTTATTTAGACCGATTTGACCTTTATGCAGGGCTGGAGACTGCTGGTGGTGGATTCCTGTGGCAGGACCCATGGTGGGCGGAGCGGTTGGAGCCGGAATTTACTTTCTCCTCATTGACTTGCACCAGCCTGAGCCTGACCGACGAGCACAGACGAATGTCCAGGACAAATACGAAATCATTACTATGAGTTAAAGTCTAGGAATAGGTGTTAGAGTGAGTAAAGTCAGCAAAAAATATTTGGAGTCTGATGCATTTCTACAAGTAAAAATGGGAAATTACAGTTTAACACAGCATGTTTGGTTTACGTATACAGAATACACGTATGTATAAGTCTATTGTAGAAAGTCAGATTTATTCAAGATCTTCAGGTTTTATCAATCAGGGTCTTTTTCAAGTTATATACAATTAGATACATTGTTTTTGAACTGCAGAGACAATGTCCTCTTGGAATTGTACTTTCAATACAGAGTCTTCTGTTCATTACAGCTATTCCTCACTGGAATAGTTTTTTCTTGTTAGAACTGATTGCCAAGTTGCTGTGCAGCATTTTCATTTTTACAACAGTCTACCTATAAAATAAGGAATAGATGGCAGATAATATAGTTATTTATGATAGTTTTAGCCAGTGCAATGATTTTTTTTTTCTGGGACTTCCTTACTGTGTTTAACTTAATCTTTTGTATGCATGTAAAAATCTTTGATTGGTTGTTTTACTTTGTTTAATATATTGTGGTTTTTATTACACGTATGTAGACATTCCAGCCTTAAATGATTATATTGGTATTGCTCACTTTTACACCTACTTTTTCCATGTTTGTAGTGATGCATAAACTGATTTCTAAAGCTGAGTAACTCTCAGTACGAAACCCATTTGTATTTGTGAGAAGTTACTTAGCATGGTATGTATGCATATACAGTTTACGTCTGCTTTCTGGGGCAAAAGTCCTGTAATTAATTGCTTGGTGGAATTTAAATGAGTTAGTATCTTTTGGGATTTAAAAAAAAACTAAATAAACTACATGCATATTTTTTAAAACAACATGAAACTGAAAATGAACATTTTAGGTTTTGGAACTGAGGGCTGGAGGAACAGATCACACATTGTGGGTTTTGTTTCTTTAATTTATTTTTTGTTGCAAAGTTTTACATGTATCCAACAATGCTGAACCTAACAGATGGATAAGCTCTGCTATCACCAAAGTCAGTTAAATGTGCTTTGTTTCCACTGGAACCCTGGAGCCAGATATGGTCTCTGAAACAGAATTAGTGTAGTACACAAAGGTTTATGGAATTTTTCCTCCGCTCCACTCTTGTGTCATGACTTCTTTGCTTTTGTTTTTTGTGAATATACAAAGATACAATCTTGCTGGCTTTTAGGTTGTTTTTTTCTGATGCATTTCCGATTTGTGAGTCATCAGTTTGATCCTTTTTTTCAGCATTAAAGATTGGTTTGTTTCCCCTCTTTTCTGAAGATTTGATTATTGGATATGTTATACTGTTATGGTGTCACGGACTGGATGTCTAACAATGTAACTTTGCACTATATTTTAGATACAAAAATATTTGCTATGTCACCAATGGTTGAGTGTAAAAGGTGTGTGTATTTCTTGTGGATATGCACAAATAAAAAATTGTTTTTCCCTCTTTTGGAAAGATAATTTACTTAATACATGTAGAATGGTGGAGCAAGATTGGAAAGGAGAGAAAAGATTCATGAATATCTTTTTGCATTTGCAAAAATGACACTTTCTATGCTTACATTCAGGACTCGTATCCATTGTTTGACTTGTAATATTAACGTAAGCCATTAAACCCAGTCTAACAGCTGTCTGAGGATATCTGGAGGAAGGAACAGTCCATAAACCTGGTTTAATCCTGTAACAACTCTCCTAAAGACAACCAAAGAGAGCAGGCATTCATTCTTCAAATGAAATGTACTTCCAACAGTCGACCATACAGCCAGTAAAAGCAGAGATGCATCAGGATATCTGGAGCAGGACATGTGAGAAAGCTTACATAACCAGAGAGAATGGATGAAGATGTTTTTGCAGGTCAGTGGTTCCTCTTCCCCAGAGAGCATCCCCGCTTTGATTCATAATGTAGCACAGATAGCTACTGTACATGAAGCTCTATCTTCTATGACAGAATGTCCTAACTTGCTGCCAGGCAATCTTTTAAGCATTCCTAATGTAATTTACGGCCCCCCCCTCTTGGATGAGATATGTGCTAACTGGTAAACAGACCCAAACAAACAAAAAGGAAAAGACACATGCATGTATTTAAGACTAGATTTGCTATGCAAAGCCATTCACCATCTGATGTAGCATCATTAAATATGCACATGGATTTGACTGGAAATGTAGGGTTTACAAAGACCTAATAATAACTTTCTATATGAATAATAAAGTGTTCAGAGTCACGTTATTCAGCTTCATAAAAAACAGAGGACTTTTACTGTAACCTGAATTATTTACATTAATTTAATATTGAAAAATGCATGGTGTAGTAATCCTACTATTCATTCATCCTACTAGTCTTTTTTATTTAGATTTAAATTAAAGGTTTAATTGTATTTTGAGTGTCAAATATTAATGTTGCTTTCAGTCACGGTCTTCAAACTCATTATTATTTTCTATTTAAAAAAAAACTATCCTCCATTTTCTGTAACCACTTACTGTTAGCAGTCATAGAGGGGCAAGAGCCTATCCCAGCAGTCACTGGGTAAAATGAGGATTACACCCTGGACTGGTCACCAGTCCATCACAGGGCAATAGGAAGACATTTGAGTCAGAAAACAACATATGCAAACAATCACATCTATTATCAATTTAGAATAAAGCTATTAAACATGCATGGTTTTGGATAGTGAGAGGAATCCGAAGTACCCGGAGAGAATCCATGAATACACTGAGAGAACATCCAAACTCCACACAGAAAGACAACAGAGCTAAACACCGCACCGCTGCACCCCCAATGAGTCAACTACCAAATGTTAAAATCACTTACTCTTTAGATCAAAATCACTGCCAAGGGCTCTGTTCAATGCCCTAAAAACAATAAAAGGGGGACTTGTCCTGAATGTGTTGGGTTTTTAAAACAATAAAAACATAAAATATTCACTTTTGAAAATACAGGTCTTTAGATAAAAGGACAAAAGAAGATGCGCGTGTGCATCAGGGGTCTCCATGACCAGTACGTGATCATTGACCCCATCTGTGGACAGAGCCCACTCACAGCGGTGACCTCAGTCAGACTGATAGCTGAAATCAGTCCAGGGAAAAGGTGACAGGGCATTTCAGCTGTAACATTAAATTATTGGTATACAAACAATCCTATGACGCATCTTACAGACGGGTAATAGATTATTTATATATAGATGTATTGAAATATTTTTGGGATGATTTAATATGAGAAAGATCATTACAGAATACATTTAAGCAGATGCTAATTATTTTTCTCTTAAATGTATATTTAAAATTATTCAAATACTTAACTTCGTTTTAAAAAGCCATCAGGGTCAGAGATACACTTAAACCAAGTGATGTTCTGGCTGTTTTTTTTTTACCTGTGATGGGTGATTAGTGTGCCATGTACCATGGGTGCTCAGCTTTATCTGTTCAAACATGTGTTGCAGTAATATTGCAAAATTCCATATCTAATGTTTGATTTTTGTCTCACGTGTTCTTTGTCCCAAAAAATTTGTTTTCATTCTAAAACATGCAACTTAAGTAAAGAGAAGAAGTCTGAATGAGGCATTCAGGGTCTTCTCTTCTGCCTCTGCCTGCCTGTTGTGCCACATCTCCTCCCTGTCCATACCTCTACTATTTCACAATGAGTTCGATTCACTTGGCCAAACTCCCAGCCAATCAGGTCAGGACTAAAAACCCCTGATCCATGCACCGTTATTCCTGCTTTGTCTTTCTGCCTGGTCATGACAGTAAAATGACCTAATTTCAAATCTTCGGACAGCAATGAGGCTTCTTTAAGAGAAGAATCTCACCTTCAAAATTTAGCTGCGTTCCTGGAGCCTGGTTCAGAGGGACTATTAGTGTCTTTGAGGCGTCATGTCTGTAGTCAAAATCTTGTGCTGTTTGCTCTTAATAAATCACCTCAATGAGGGTAAGAAAATCAAAGGGAACAGGGGAGGTAAGTAACATATCATTTTAACTGTAAAAAGCCTGACCAATGTTGTCTTTGCTCAATACCTGTGACTTCCTAATGGACAGATGAATGAAAATCCCACAAACTGAAGGTTTACACTAAATATTGAACAATTGACTGGTTAACAGTTCAGCTATTTAGGTAGATTTAGTCAAGGTCAAGCACATTTTTATACACTCAAGAATGTGTACCTAAAATCTAAAAGTAAAAATTTCAATAGCAGAGATCAAAGCGCTTAAAATAATCTGACATCTTTTAACCCGATGTTCGATCTGAAGTTTACATGACATCTCTTTTAGAATTCACTTCGACAATATAGCATTTCCTCAGGGTGAATTATAGTGTGTTCAGCGACATCTTTATGTCAAGACTTTCGGGAAATATCTAACATATGCAGCACAGAGCGCTGGAATTCTTTTTTTCAAAGTATCTCTTTGAAAGGAGATCGTCCATTTGAACTCAAAACAACCTCTGTGGGTCTGAACAAAGCTCACCCACGCAACATGTGATTGTAAAGTTTAACCGAGTTCCACAGTTCATCTGTCCCACACTGCTGAAGTGTTAGTTCAGGACTGATCTACATTACAGACTAAACCATAACTTCCAATCCTCTAAAAAAACAATTTTGACCGTAAAACATAATTCATTTGTGCCATACTTACTTGATCACTTACAGATCAATTTCAGATCCTTTTTTGTTATTTTCAAATGGAGGTATTTGTCAACTTTTATTGAATAAAAAGCTTTTGTTGGTTTTATTTTTTAAAGGTGTGAAATATTCCAAATTTACACAAATATATGCTGAATGGAATTTTATAGTATTAAGACATCTACTTTCATATCATTTTTGTCAAACTGAAAAGGAATTGAGACTGTGTTATTCATCAGTAGTCTCCCGATACCCAAGTCTGGGTCGGGTAGTTTTGCTGCATTTTAACTTAACACATTGAATGCCTCATTCTCCCTTTCGCAGTAGGTTTACCTAAAAAACTTTTCATGTTTGATTGTTTGTCTCTGCGGTTGTATGATTTACATGAGACTCAGAAAACACAAAATCTGCTGTGCATGCAGATCTTTTTTCACATCGATATTCGCAAACCTAAGGGAATTATTTGTAAACCGCAATTTGATTTATTTTGCAGTTGTAAAATTCTCTCTAGCTTGAAATGGACAAATCCCTGCTACAGCTAAGAGATCAACTGAGAAACAATGTGCAGCTTTAAAGCAGCAGTATGGCATGCTGATAAGAACTCCATAGCTATCTTCACGAATTTAACAGCCATATCTATAGTGTTAAAATAGAATTTATGGAGGGGACATTGACTGCCAAGGCACCTTGAATTATGTTATTGTTATTACAGGACTAGAAGATGTAATGATAGATTCCACATGATGAGGCTCAGCGATGGTTGTGAGTGATGGCTGCAGACTTGTCTAGGGTGGAGCTGTTTATATAAGAGTCTGTAAAAACCCCGGCCAAGATTTATTGGATGAGACATGACTGATGCATCATGTTGGTGCGTTTTGTCAAAGCCATCTGTATTAGCAGTTCAAGTGGGAAGGAAACAGGAAAAGACTGTTCTGGTGTTCCTTCGTTTACTGTTGGTTTATTGCATTAAATAAAAGATACACACTGGTCTTGAGGGGACAAATAAAGTGAGCTCACAAGTCTTTATGAAATTAGTTACCCTAAAAGTAAACATATCCAGTAACTGCGGAATACAGAGAGACAACAGACTACAAAGCGATGACCCTTGTGTTGTGATCTCTAAGGAGTGAAAGACACAGGGGAGAACGGCATCCTGAAGCTGAAAGAGCCATATGTCAGCAGTTCAGTGTTCAGGCTGTTTTTGGGAGGTGAGGACACCTGCACGCTGGACACTCTGCAGCTGCACACTCTCACCTCCTGTGGTTTCAACAGCAGTAATCCCCTCATCATCATCACTCACGGGTGGTCGGTAAGGTCAACTCCCGCTCTCTTTACACTTCACTGATTTCCACCACTGAACAGAAAACACGGGACTTTACTACAAGACAGGAAAAGATTTTCAAACGCCAGAAACAGAATAAAAACGCATGCAATGTATTTAAATCAAACACCCATGGGGTTATTTATTCAAATCTTTACTTAATCAACTTTTAAAATGTGTATTTTTTGCCTCACTGATCAGGATCAGTTGGCAACACACCAGCTTTTCAAAAAAGAAAAAACTCTCCTTTTTTTCTTTCTTTTTAAGGTGGATGGCATGATGGAAAACTGGGTGATCAGACTGGCCTCAACTCTCAAGCTGAATCTTGTTGATGTAAATGTGGTGATTACGGACTGGCTGTCCCTGGCTCAGCAGCACTACCCCACAGCTGTACAGAGCACCCGCACTGTCGGGAAAGACATAGCTTACCTGCTGGGATCACTTAAGGTCAGACATTTTCCACGGGGAGAAATCTTTTCAATGGAGTGAACTTCCCCTTTAAAGACCCGTCATTCAACACTTTGCGTACTCCACATTCGCTAAATCACTTACATGAAACAAATCCCTGTAACAGGAAAAGTACCAGTATTCCGCTAGGAAAGCTCATCTGATTGGCTACAGCCTTGGCGCGCACATCTCTGGATTTGCTGGGAGCTATCTGGAAGGCTCTGAGAAGATTGGAAGAATCACTGGTAAGTTTTTCCACAACTGTTCATGAGAAACACATTTTGACTCCAGTGGCCAAAATAAACATTCAAGCTTTTGGAGAATAATGACTGGGGATCATTCTGACGTTCATAGTTTGATTGAAAATAAAAGTGAGCGCATCAAAACGGTGACCTAAAAAAATCAGATTGTTTCTGTAAATCTACTTATGAATTTTGATTTTAGTGACAAAGGTTAGAAATAATTGAAACACCTCAGGAAAAAGGCCGAAATATGTGTTCAGGAAAGCTTAAAATAACACCTGGTGGAGCATATTAGAATTAATTAGGTTAATTGGAAACAGGTCGGCAGCATGCTGTGTCTGAAAATAGCATCCAGGAATGGCTTTAAGAAGTAACAATGGCGAGGGGTCCGCCCCTGTGAAAAACCATGACAGAAATATACAAGGATAGATATACAAGTTAATACTTCTATCCGTCCATCTGTAATGTCCTCAGGTCTCGATCCAGCCGGGCCGCTGTTTGAGGGCATGTCTCCCACGGACAGACTTTCTCCCGATGATGCAGAATTTGTGGACGCCATCCACACCTTCACCCATGAGCGCCTGGGCCTCAGTGTGGGCATCAAGCAGGCCGTGGCACATTATGACTTCTACCCCAACGGAGGAGACTTCCAGCCAGGATGTGACTTGCAAAACATCTATGAACACATAACCGAGTATGGGCTCCTCGGTACGATGAAAAACACACTCAAGCACTCGCAAAGACTAGGAAATATTTGTATTATTTTTGGAGACCGATCAAGAGTTGCAAGATTACTTTTCAGTTTCATACACATTCAAGGCTGAAGTATTTTTACAGAGCATACTGCTCTTTAAGGAGCAGCAATCATGCAAAAAACACAATCACAATTAACTTTTTTTAAGAAGCATGGATCTACCGATCAATCTTTAAAATACAGCTATCCACTAATCAACTTTTTTCTCTTTTTTTGCAAAAGATTGGGAATATCAGTGAGCAGATTGCTTCTTTTTCTTTATCTTCTTTGCTGTCACTTTTAAAATGGAGATATAAAACTTGAACTAAACTTCACGCGGAGGCAAAATGCCACAAACAAATCCTGAACAAATCCTTCTTTAATACCTATAGTAATGACTACACGCTCTTGTATCGCAGTTTGCCTTTCAGAACCTAGCTTGGATCAGAGTCGTGTATTTTTGCTTCTCCGAGGCTTTCTGGTTTGCCTCTTTGTGTGCTTTATCATTACTTTTTTTTCTCTAATTGGTCTTGCCCCCTCAGTTTTAAAGCTGTATCTTGGGCTCCAGTTCATCTTTGACTTGTTGACAGTTTCTCTTTCTGTGTTCATGCAGATGCCTTTAATTCCTCCCTGTCCCACAGAAGTGGCTCTGGGAATTGTGGTGTCTCTCTATTGAAAACACGTTTGCATATTATGACAGTGATAACCACATTAAAGCATCTGTCATCCTCAGGAGTTAATTGGCAACATGTGCAATCCTGTGCTCTGTCCATCGCTCTGAGCTGAGCTGCCTCCAAGCTACATGAGTCAACCTGGAAAAAAGGCTTTTAGAGCAGAGCAGTGCTCACATAATGAGGAGATTTGACAGATAGACGGGCTGATAGATGTCAGAATTGGTGATGGGGAACTAAATCCACAAACAACAGCCGTACACTGTGATTAACTAACTCAGATCAGAGTAGGGAAAAAAAAAACGTTCTAAATTACTATCACATTTTCCTGTACTCCCACAGGCTTTGAACAAACAGTGAAATGTGCTCACGAGCGGTCCGTCCATCTGTTCATCGACTCTCTGCTGAATAAGGACAAGCAGAGCATGGCCTACAGGTGTAGCGACAACAACGCCTTTGTGAAAGGCATCTGCCTGGATTGCCGGAAGAATCGCTGCAATACGCTGGGCTACAACATCAAGAAGGTCCGCACAGGCAGAAGCAAGAGGCTCTACCTGAAAACACGCTCAAGGATGCCTTTCAAACGTATGTAGCTGTTCTGTAAACTAAGAGAGATTGAGGTGCACTCCTATATAGGCACAGTCAAAAGTGATGGGTGGATTAGAAGTGCTTTATGAGAATTTAAGAGGCTTTGAAAAAGTCCTTTAAGAGTTATTCAGCTGAATAAAAGCAAACAGGGAAGTCTCAGGATTTGATTTAAAAGAAGGAAACGGAAAATCCTCTGCAACTTTGTTCCCTAAAGATGGAGCTAACTTAATAGTTTTTTTGTGTTTCTTTCTACTTGTGACTGGGGACTGTAAGCATACCTTAAAAAGTTAGTTAATTGTCATGCAACCAATTAACAAGTCAAATCATGTCCGCACAGTTACAATAGATACATACTTAATGGAGCAGTTATTATACCATACTTTGGCATACACAGAATAGATCCCTGATAAAAGATTTGTTATGTGATAAATGATTTTCATTTTTCTTAATCACTTAAGTGTGGAACATGTTCACATCAGTATTTCAGCAAATTTAGTAATAGTTGCATAAAGTAGCTGGTTTGTCTGAGGAGAACATGGTTGTATCTGTGTCCTTTGGCCTTGCTTTGTACCACATACTGCTGTGTTTTTTTCTACACCCAGATTAAACTACTGATACATTTTGAGCATGTTGTGATAGAAACACGACACGCATCACAGCGACTACTTTACATGTCCTTTACATTACCATATTTTCAGTTTTGGTTAGTGGACATGTGATTTTGTGATTTTTAAAAAAATAAAATAAATAAATAATCCAAATCCAAATTTTTCCACAAGTTCTAAGCATAATCAGGACATACCAGTTAAACAAAAGTTAGGATACACAAAAATTAAAGGTTTCATTGGATAAATATTGTTTGTGCTCATTACCTCTTCTCTGTTTGTTTCTGCCTGCCTCTGCAGTCTATCATTACCAGTTCAGGATCCAGTTTGTCAATCAGATGGAGAAGATTGAGCCTTCTCTTACCATCTCCCTCACTGGAACAAAGGAGGAGAGCGGAGAGCTTGCCATCACAATGTGAGTACTGTACCCCCCCACCCCCCACCATCAGGCTCACATCACATCACATCTAAAACCCAGTCTTTGATACATGCAAATATCCAGCTGGTCTATCAAATCTGCACAGAAAAAAAAAAGAAGTTAAGGGGAACAGCTGACACACATGGAAAAACCTCAGGCTGGTGCATGAAAGAAAACTATAAATAGAGATTATGGATTTAATTATTCAAAATATACACCATTCCTTGACAAGCATGCCATCTTCATGTTTTGTGTATCAGAATGCTTCAGGAAGAAGCTGCCTGCCTTATATGTGGATCATCACAAAAGCAGGGTTGTGCTTTTTTTTTTTTAAGTGCCTTTTCATGAATATCTACAACTTTCACTCTTCTGCTTTGTTGTTTTTCCAATTCCATTCCCCCCGTAAACTCCCCACCAGAAATGAAAATATTTCAGGTAACACAACCGTCACCTTCCTGATCACACTGGACAAAGACTTAGGGGACCTGATGTTGCTCAAAGTACACTGGGAGGGACCGGCTCTGTGGACCAACGTTTGGAATCGGATGCAGACCATCATTCCGTGGGGCAGTCAGTTGAGAAAACCTCAGCTGAGTTTGGGAAGCATCAGTGTCAAAGCAGGGGAGACGCAGGAGAGGTACAGCTTACAGTTACAACACACACCCTTTAATTTAGAATCCTATCCAAATGTGACTGCCTACAGGCAGGTTTTTTTACTGGATGTTTTCACACATGCTGTGTTATATGTGCAAAAGGTGGCTGGGCATTTCCTTTTGGATGGCATATTTAGCTACAAAACATGTACATATTGTATATTTATGATGCCAAATGTGAACATTAGCCCTGCCGTGTGCAGCCATACGCCCTCATCAGTTATGTACAGTGATGCTGGCTTTCAAACTTTATACCCATGAGAAGCCAGATAAATGTAGAAGTTTTGACTATGTATCTCAGAGCTTATCCTTTGCCTTTTGTTTGTGGGAAGCGTTTCTCCTCCAAATAGTTTTAAACTCTAAGAATACACTTTAAATAGGGCGTGAGTGCGTTAAAACTACCAGTATAACTTAAAAGGGAATACACAGTATTATAAGGGGTGAACATAAGCAGCTGAAGTGTGAGAAGCTTCCATTTTTATGAGCTAAATTTTTTAAAGGCTGTGAACAGTTCAGATTTGCTGTTTTCCACTTTGTTTTTATGTTTCTTCTTTAATCTGCAGCTGTACACAGAAAAAGGGCATACATCTTCGAAGACTTTTAATGCCATCTAGTGGACTGTTTCCCCATACACAACATTATTAATTTTGTCACACCATTGACCTCATACATTCTGCTTAATAACTCCAGATAAACTTTTGTCCCCTTTTCCAGGACGCTGTTCTGTTCCATGAAAAATGACGGACAAAATATCGAAGTGTCTCAGGATAAAGTGTTTGTGCGCTGCAAAGACGACACACCAAAACAACGCAAAAGGAAGCACAGCTAATGGAACTTTTTTTAGGCTACTTGATCATTTTTAACAGACCTGGAAGACCACAACTAATTGGAAATTATTCAATCGGATGAGATCAGCTAAAGCAGAGCTGCATAACTCAGTTTAACAATAAAGCTTTGAAACAGTGACCATCGGAAATAAAGTTAATATCAAACAGAGGTGTTCGATTTTGTGATCAAATTATTAAGCAGCCACTGCGTTTCACAACCACTGTGGTGTTTTATGTGTTAGCCATCATTGACTCTTTGCTCCGCAGAGGGTTTACACAGTTGAAAGTCTAAACGGCTGAAAGTTCCAAAATCAAACATTAACCAGGCAATTAAAACAAAGTCTTTTATTCACTTAGATGCCATTGAATCCAATAGATGCAACCTGTTCAGTCTGGGAAGGATCGGGAGCCACATTAAAACCTAAAGAAACATAGAAACACACTTGTTGTTCAAAGTCACAACAGAGCACTCAATGAAAAAAAAAAAAAAAAAAAAAGTTCTATTCTATATTGCTTTATTTTTTTTCTACGCATGCATGGAGGTTCATGCTTGACTTATTTATAGTGTGACACTCATTAAATCCGAGAGTGAAAAGAAAAGTATGAACACACATAAGCAGTTGGATTTGGGACTGAAAGCTCAGCAGAAAATGCATAAATCTGACAGGGAAACATAAAGAGTTTGTCTGGTGGCAACTCACAGTAGCATACGACAACAATGGTAAGTAATGAACAAGGTAGAGGCCGCTGCTTAGGAGGTAGACTGGATTTGGATGAGAGTGGCTTCTAAAATGATTGAATTTTAAGGTTATGCCAAGTCCATTAATACCAGTTAAATGTAATCCCAATGAAACAGGAGAGACAACAGCTCCGCCATCTGGCCAGCTGTCACACTCACACTTAAAATCGTGCACAGTACACACCTACCCGTTATTATGGACAAGAAGGTGAAAAGAGTTTAGCCCATTCTGGTTTATTAATGCATTTCAAGTAATTCAAAACAAATATCCTTGCATAACCATCCTTGTAAAATGTTCTAAGTAAATGGAAAAAAAAAGGAATCAAACATAAGCACAGTTGAAGACACTGTAGAAAAAGACAAGGGCCATTAAAATCAGACAGCAGTACTACATTTTTATCATTTTTGGATGATCTTCTGAAGTCACCATCAGTGCACATGTGAAACAGAAATTTCCCACAGATTAAACCCATCAGACTATTTTAAATATCAAACGTAGTCCAAAAAAAAAATAAAAGGAAAAAAAAGGAAGATCCAGCAAAGCAGCTCACACACACACTCAGTCACAAACATATGCTTTAAATATTAAGAAACATACCATAATCGCTGACAATCGAAAAACAAACGGGGAACAGCACTAAAAATCACCAAAAGACAAAAGAAAAATCAACAAGCAGCAGAAAATTGCATTTTTGTCAGCTCAGAGACTTTACTGCAGCACTTGGACTTAATCTTAAAAACAACAGAATTTTCCATGTATTCATTTTAGAGAACACACTGAAGGCATTTCTCAATAAAGAGCTTTTTGAAACTCTGCATAGAATCTGACCCATAACATCCCGTCGCTTTGAAGAAAAAAACCATGTGGAATCCCAGCTGTGTGCCGTGGTACTCTGTTGCATGAACTTCCACATTTCATTGGTAACTTTACAGAGAATAATCTCTTGGCCGAGCTGACCTGAAGGTACCCTGAATTAAAATTCTAAATTCAAGTTAAGCGAAAAAAAAGAAAAAAAAAAGAAAATCCAAAATTCTGAAAACATTTGTCAAACATAACGTATAAGTGTTTATCTGTATGTTGTTGTTTTCTTTTCCACATGTAGGCTATGTGTGTCAGTGGTCGCACACGTTACTGACACAATGCCATGCCCTTAGCCTCTACTCGTTTAATTTCCAGATGGATAACAGTGCTTAGACAAAAGGTCACCTCATGCACAGTTTCCAGCACACAGATACCTCAACACCAGTCAAGTTGCTTAGGCACATTTTAATGCATTCACCTAAACCAGGAGGCAATAAGTTCCCTTAAGAAAAGCCCAATCGTTAAAGAAAGACAAAGCCAGAATAGTGCTGAATGGCTGAGTCTTAGTGATTGTTTGCTCTCACAAGATGGCCCGCTGACAGCTGCATTGAACTAAAGTAAGAATCAATGGTTCCTCCCCGAGTGGTTCAGTTCCTCGAAATATACCAAATCATCTGAACTTCACACAGAGTTTACAATCACGTTTAAACCGGTCAGGTTGTTTTTCTGGTTGCAGAGGCTGAGAGGATCGAGCTGTTACTACCGACCTGTTTCATTTGGCCTTTCCTGTAAAAGACTTAAACTTAAACACCATCTTGTCTTTGCTCTCAGTGAACTCCCTCTGGACATGAAGACATGCTGTGGCACACAAAAGGTTATACGCACCAAATCAGTCGCCAGCTCATGTAGAATAAAATAATAACACAACCCGTTGATAAAAAACTACTCATCGTTATTGATGTCAGGCAAAGGCTAAATACTTGTGTGAACACAACTGCAAAGCCCTACTACAACACTTCCCCTTTATCTGTTAACCGGTGACTGTATATTCTTATCAAGGTTATGCATCTACATTCTAGTCATACCAGCACAAACCTGCCCCCTAAACTGCACGGCAGCTCATGGAAACCCCATCCTGAAATATGCATGAAGCCATCTTTTCACTTATTTGCTATTGTTTAATTGATCCTGAGAACATGAATTAAAAAGGGTAAATGATGTAGAAAATAAAATTTCATTTGAAACAAAGAAACATACTCTGAAACATCTGTACAAATAAGAACACGAGCGAAAGGAAACGCTTCTGTGGTTGACGGTACTTTGCTTTAAAACAACCTGGTCATACTGGCAAAATACAAGATCTCCAAGAACACAATGCCTTAATTCTGTTTTTTCGATGGCAGCAAAAAACGTGTACAAGGCCTTGGAGTCCCGATATAGTGCTGATGACGGTGGCATTTCAGGGAAGAGAAGCAGGGAAGAAAGAGGTTACACAGATGGAGGACAGAGGAAGGCATCAGTAACTGCTTTTCTCTCCTCCATTCTCTTCAGGGAAAAAAAGCATTAAAAAAAAAAAAGATCATAAGCTTAAGACCACACCACAGATCAGTGAATTTCTCCCCCTGACCCTCATTGGAAAGATTATTTATTTCCTATAAAAGTTACTTGAACTACTGTTAGTTTGGCTCTTGGAGCAGAGGTGCTGAGTGACTGTTTGCCCTCCATAAAAGCTTTGGGCTGTGTCCATTAAAATCTTTTTAGATCTTTATAGTTCTTTGACGTTTGCAATGAGTGGTAAAGGTAAATCTTTGGAGTGAATTGCTCCCGTTTCAGGCACTAGAAACCAAGGCGACGAGCAGAGCAGCCTCTCAGGGTCTCATCTGTCCCATTAGATAGTTCTCTCTGTGCTGCCGGGGCCGCTGGCCCTGTGCCTGCTGATTGGCTTGCTGGGCTCTTCTCCTCTTTAGTGTACCTGTAGGATATAGATCAGATATGTGATATGTGTCAGTGTATAGCTAAACTCGGAGGATGTGAAATCAAACAAACAAATGCAACACACAGACCTCCAGAGGTTTATCTGACAAGAATCTTTTTGTTACACTTGTAGAAATGGCTGTACTAAACACTAACTCTACAAATGACTGGAGGGTATAAATAATAAAACAAGTTGGTGGATGAATGAAAAAGTCATTCTCCACCGTATTTTTTCACTCCATTTCCATATTTTGGAGTTAATCACCCTCAGGTGATGTTCGCTGTTCTGTACCTGGTAGAGCTTTCGGTGGGGGAAGTTTAGGGTTGCTGCTGGGGGTGTGGACGCTGCAGATCTTGATGAAGCCCGCCATGAGCATAATAAGAGCGATGCCCATCAACAGCACGGCCCACCAGTGAGCCTGAAGAGCAGAAATATGGAAGATACTTACAAATATGTAAGCAGAATCTGTTCAATTTTAAAAATGAATTCAGTTTGTTCCGTGAGGAGTTTTTGAACAGGGCCACATCGGGACACTCACCACAATCCACTCGGCAATATTCTCATAGAGCTCAGGGTTGAAGATGGCTTTTTTCAGCCTTGCCAAAGGCCCATCGGCATCCACTAATCGACAACGCATGAACACATCACAGTATCCCTTAAAGTCGTTGCAGGGGGAGCCAGGCTGCAACGTTGTGGGTCTCTTGTTGAAGAACTGGGCCCATCTGTCAGAGGCGGTGCTGCTGCAGCTGCTGGGGTTTCCTGGGGGAGAAGAAGGGCGTGGCTTTTAAAACAGTGATGGCAACTTGTTGTTTGGAAGAGAACAAACACAAAATCACCAGCCCTGTGGCAAGTAAGTGCTATGACAGAACATCACTCATATGATCTATAGCTCTTACTGAAAGCTTCACCAAAAACAAAACAAAGGCCACCTATAACATATATAAATAATTCTCATTATGAAATTGGCATGGATTATATAATTATAGTAGTATAACATTTTGTATCCATCCCTTACCTTTTTCCATGCAGCAGACGTGGCACAGCTCAGCTGCCTCATCTGGTCCATCTTGGGTGGCGCAGGTACATACCTCCAGATCATACTTCTTACAAATAGAACCAGAGCAGACCTATCCCAGAACAAAATTACACAAAAGGAGAACGAAATCTTATAAAGAAACAAAAAGAAAACTGAATGCAAATACAACAATCCGGTAAGATCAGACATCAAATAAATATGGAAAAGAATTTGAACCTACCCCACTGAGGCACACTTGTGTGTCTGAATGGCAGGAGGTGAGGTTTGCCTTTGCTTCAGACGCTGGGCACATAGCGGTGCCTCCGTTGCAGTAGCCTTCTTGAGCACATTCTGATACCTTTCTGCAACTTTCATCTGGGCCCTTGAAGGTACACTGTGGTGTGCAACATGGGCCTTGGCTGGGACTGCATGAGGCAGAATTACAAATGTTAAGTCATTATTTTTACACCGTAGTTTTGCGCTTGGTGGCTCCACATAAAACAGTGCATGATATCTGACCTGCAGATTTTGCCTGGCTTAAGTTTGCATTTTTTGCCCTCCTCTTCATTGGCGCTGTAGCAGCAAGGGTCTTTACACTGATCGCTGTAGCCGCAGTCACACTGCTCTCCCTCTTCCACAAGTCCATTACCACAGATTGGCTGGCCGGACTCTGCACACAAACACACAGTGGAGTGAAAACGATCTCTCTCTCTCACTCTATCTCTCTCTTTCTCTCACTCTCTCTCTCTCTCTCACACACACACACACAGGAGCTACATCTAAGTGCATTATTAGGAATTTACCAACAAAACAGTTGTCCCTCTTCTTTGCCAGAACGCCGCTTATGTTGCGGACGCTGCAGATGGAGAACTTGTTATTGTTCAGTTTGTCCCCCGATGTGGCTCTGGCATACATGATGTAATTTCCACGCTCCTTTTTTCCCTGCAGCTTCGACTCTCCTGGGGTGCATTCAATCCCAGAGTCGTGCTGTAAAATGGTAGACAAGGTGAGAAATCTTTAACCGAGTGCTCTGGATAATAAATCCAACAGCTTAGCAAGACAAAGCAGATCAGTGGCAGCCGCCTCGGTTGTGAATCATGATACTCACAGGGGAGCCAAAGTTGTGCCCAACCTCATGCGCAAATGTGATGTGCGAAACCTTGGGTGGGACATGGGAAGCATAGTTCTGCACAGTGATGATACCAGTGTTGAGAGACTTCCGTTTCCCATCGGAGTACAGTTTGCTCTTTTCACAGATACCCCCAGAGCTTCCTGTGGGAAGGTTAGAAAACAAAAAACAAAAAGCAGAAGATTGTATCATACAAGAACAATTATTGAAATTGACCAAAACATATAACAAATTAAAAAAATTGAAAATATATAGAGGAAAAAAAACAACAAAGCCGCAAGCGAAACCAACCCCACCCGCTCAGTGATGAGCACCCTGCTGTGCTGCAGCTTTCCACAGTAATCTATAAACCCAATGAGCTTCCAGCAGCATGGAAACATGAAACCAAAGCAAATCAAGCAATAAACAATGTGTCCATTACGCGTGAGTGGCCATGGGCAGGACTGCATTTCTTATGACTCACGCATTTGCATTACTACTTCCACTTAAATTTCTTTATCATCTAAATAGAAAATATAACCCACATATTTCAATAAATATTGCTGACACAGCTCACTGCAACGGTGCTTTCTTCATATCTTACATTTGATCAATTCCATTCCACTGTCAGAGCCTTGCTAATTCACTGGCACCAGCTGGGTTTGATGCAGTATGTTTTATGTAGAAATAGCATTCAAGCTAATTCCAAAGGGTTAGGAAGAGTGGCCTGCCATAACACATTTATAAATATGTAGAATAAACTTATTTAACTATGATTCAGGTTGGTATATGACGAAATAATGAAAAATAGGACATAATAGAAAAGAAACCATGATAAAATAAACCATTTTATAGTAGTATGAAGTAAAACTAGCACTACACACTCATGTATAGAGAATTGTTGTCCAAATGAAAAACACACATCACAACTCCGACTTAAATAACACTGGGTCCCTCAAGCATCCAACCAGTAGAGCTGGTTAAGACTGATCTGGGGCAAGGTCTGCATTCTTCCACCCGTTACACCAGGTTTCTCATGACAATGTCCTTTGATGGCCTGATGATAGGTCCCGAAATAGGTCTGTGACCTCAGATAAATTAAAGGTTTGTGTCAAGAAGGGGATCTTGCGTTAAAAAAAACTCCAGTCTGAACTACCAGTCCAACTGCTAGTCCAACGCACTGCGGTGCCCCCTGACAGGAAAAGCTAAAAGGCGAAAATAACAAACAATGTGACCAAATTAAGAGTTATTTTAATGGCTGAACCAAAGACATGCCAGTACCTCTGAGGGGTACCACCTGTTGGCCACAAGATGGCACTGTACTGAAAATCGATATTTTTTTACATCTAAATCCCTTTTTTTTGCTACATTGGAAAATATGCCAACCCTAATTTTATGAAGTTGTGTCTATACCTGATGAAGTCTTAACTTTATGCATGAAATGGAAACCGTGGTTAATTCAAGTGCCACGTACACGTTTTTAACATTTCTAAATGCATCAGATGAGTGTTTTGTACTGACCCGAGGGTGCGCCGACCCAAGCCAAGCCAAGCACGCCATCATCAAAGTCCCTGTCAGTGAAGACATAGGCCAGGCAGTAGTCATCATGGTTCTGCTCAGAGTTAAGCTCCAAAAACTTCTCCACTCCAATGTTGGCAAAACGAAAAGGGTTCGACTTGTCCTTTTCATCTTCAGTGACATTTACCTGAAAAAAAGGGAAATAATTTTTTCCCCCTCCGTCCAAAACATTGATTGGGACCCGAAGGAAAGATTACATTTCTCTTAACTTGGTCACTGTTCATTGGTTATAAATTCTATACCATAAAAAATAATAAATAATTAATATATAAGTAAATAAAGAAATATCTTAGAATAAATCTTATACTAAGATTTATTGTTCAAAATCACCCCATTAAAACTCTGTGCTCTCAGAGCACAGAGTCTAGTCTGATTTTGTCTCAAGCCTTTCGGGGAAATGGCTCCCACTGAAGGCGTGGGATTGAGACACCTGCTTGAGTTTAAACTTATCTCTTATGAGTTACTTTTATCTGTTTTAACATGTTTGCATTTGGACTTTTGATCTTATTACAGTTTTTTATATAAGTATTTCCTTGCAACTGTGTTTTCTTCCTGTCATTGTTAACCTTTTATTCTTTCATTGAGTTTTTATTTTATTTTTTAATATTGTTTTTCTGTAAAGCTTTAGGTAAATTTATAATGTTTGACAAGTGTGCTAAATAAGTAAAGCTGAAAGGGGAAAGTTCGACCTTCTCAACAATATTAGCTGGTTGATCTCTTTCAGGCCAATTGCTTGGTATACTGACTGCCAGATACCATCAACTGTGAACAGGTGCTGTGGTGCACTCACTCTGGGCTCACTCCTCTGAGGGATTTAACTTACCCTGATCCTTTTAACCATGAAACTGATGTTCCTTATGCCCATGAAGTCTGTTCCCTGGTAAATGGAGTTGATAGCCTTAACATGACTGGAGATCTGTGAAAAGAGTGTGACTGCTTAGATTAATGAGGCAGCGAGAAAACATGAGAAAAAACAAACATACAACAGATGGTCTCCATTGTGTCTAAGAACGGTTATAAAAGCTCTTCCTTGCTTTATAACTCTTCAGTATGAGTTGCTCTAAAAGTTGTGTAGTGGCACAATGCAGGAGACAAGTCAAATTGATCTGTTGCGTCACAGATGTCACAGCAGCGCGATAGTAATCAGCTCAACAACTGAGTTATTGAAGTACATCACTCTTTGATAGAAAAATGGATGAAAGAGATATTTGTGTCTGTGTACCTGTGCAATGACAGAATCCCTTGAGCCATAGTATTTGAAAAACAGGTGGTCCGTCTGGATGAAAAGCTGGCAGGTGTTTTTCTCTTTCCCTGCTGCCCTCTTCTTTCTTAGAATGACTGGACCATCTGAGCGGTCGTCCTCCAACACACTGTTCCCCTCCTGGACGTAACAAGGATTACATCTGATTACAGCAAGTTCGTTTCTCACATAATTCCTAGTTATTCTCCAAGTTAAGGCCATTTGTTAGAACAGCTTTTGTAAAAGTTCCAACTTCTTGTCTGAACCTTTTAACCTAACGAGTCTTGTCCATCTGTTTGTAAAATTAGGAGTATTAAGGAGAAGGAGGTGGGTTGATATAATGCTGGTACTCACTTTGCCTGGCTCCTGCACTGCTGACGTCTGGTACGTCCTCATCCTTTCAAACACTGAGTGGTCAGCGCAGCCACCCTCTGAGCCATACTTATGAGGATAATCTGACAGATAGGGATAAGATGAGAGATTGACTTTAGAGTTGATGGTGCATTGAAGGTGTGGTCAGAATCATGTGCAATGGGCTGAGAGATGCATGTCTGTGGCAGCTGGGTTCAAAAGTAGCCGCATTAAATAAAAGGCTTGAGCGGGAATGATGGAGCTGCTAATCTTTTTCAGCAAACTCAAGGAAAACAAATCATTGTCATCTTCTTATTGCTCTGCTCCTTTACATTTTTCTGCCAACCCTCCATCAGAAAAGTGAACGATCTTACTGATGACTTGTCTCCATTAAGGTAAAAGAGTCTCCACTGAGTCTTATTTCAATTCATTCCAGTTCTACAAAATGTCAAAACATGTCATTCTGTCACAATACCAAAAACAATCTCACAATATGAAGAGTAACATTAGCCAGTGCATGCCATGTGTCCAAAAATATTTCAACTATCTGTTCTTGTGCATGATCGAATGATATAACAATGTGAGTCTCTATGCAGCCTTAAGAAATAATCATTTAAAAAAGGTTTATCAGTTGTTCTAATATGCAATAAATAGCGCTGCTTAAGTTCACCAACAGCCACAGGAAAATATATCGTTTTCAACAAATGGAGGTGAAAACACAAAAAGAAAATTGGTAATAGATAATTGAAAGAATGGAAACACATTCTGACAGACAACTCTCAGAGCGCAACAGACCAGCTTGAATGGTGACTCAGTAAAAAAAAAAAAAAAAAAACTTTTGTGACTCAACTGGCTAAAATGACAGTGCAGACTGCAATGACACATCCAGTCCCTAACAAAGTGTTTTTGATGTTTGCTTGTTTTGTTGTTTCTCAGGAAAAGCCTGCTTTGTCCATAAAGTGAATGCTGCTTCATTCAACTGCTAATCAAGAGAGCTTTGTATTTTAGATAAAAGCAACAAAACAAAAAAAAGCCAAGACTGAGAGCCATCTTTTGTCAAAACCTCTTCTGAGAAAAGCATCAGAAACATCAAGGGGAAACTTTAAGGGCAATGCTTGAAGGATCTATGTCATATCACTGGTGGCAGAAAGGCGTGTGGTAAATCTAAACGGGATTATCTCCACAATAATGAGGGAAAAATCATTACTTACCAATGTCATCCTCATGATAAATGACAGAGTGGTAGGGCACATTCTTGTCCTGCAGATACCTCTCTGAGGGTTCAACATAGTATGTTCCTTGGTAGGTTTTAATGAAGCCCTCAAAGCGTCCATCAACCACGGAGCCGTGGGCTAGTGTGCCCTTTTCACCTGAAAAAGAGAGGAGGTGGGGGGTTTAAAAAAAAGCTAACTCTACATGGCATTGATGTTTGTTCCTTTCTGATGATGTACAGACATGTTTAGGAAAATGGTATATAGTCTGTGTAATAATTACAGATTTATTTTTTAGTGGAACTAAACAATTTTTTAGTGGAACTAAAAAACTAAAGAAAAATTTCTAGTTAAAAAAAATACTGTAATATAAAGGTTTCCATTCACGCCTCCTATCACAGAGATTGTAAACAAAAGTTTCTTTTTTAAATTCCAGTGAAGGCCGTGACAATTCACAGTGAGGATCAGTGACTACGAATGAGATGGAGGTTGAAATAAGTGCTCATACCAAAGATGTCCCCGCTGTAAATGTGTGATGCATCAGCGGGTTCCTCCTCCCCTGATACTTCAATGATGAGATCAGGAGAAAACAATTTTGTATCCCTCTTCATCCTCAAGTTAAAATATCTAAAGAGAAAATTGGGGGACAATAAGCAGTTAAAACGCACAAACTCAAACACAAACTCATACATGTTGGTGTTATGACACACAGGCCTGTCATTGATACCACCATCTAAGTAATGTTGATGTCTTTCACCACAGAGTTTCTGTTTGAACCGCCCTCGGTGGAAATAAGACATGAGGCAGAATCTAACAGAGAAAACAGCATCCTGTACTTATTTTGCACCAGACTTTGCTGTTCTGATGCGTTTAGTTCTTCTATGCTAAATGACTCAGAGGAGCTATTACATCAGAAGGAAAGCACATGAACATTCATGCAGAGCAACAGTCTAGCTCTAGTAAGTATTAGTGATCTCAGCTACAAAAAGGCAAGCCTCACATGAGCCCCTTATGAGCCAGTACCCGTCAAGAACCCTGAGGCTATTAGGGGAGGGGTTCAAATGAATGCTGTGCCTTACCAGGAACCTTAGCAATCATGTGATGATGTTTTTAGGTATAAGGCTTCTTCCATATAGCTGTATGACTCATGACTACCTCAGACTGCCTTTCTGTTCCCGTCAATAGTTTGCACAATATGGGAAAAAAATGTGCACCAATCCTTTTCCCCTTGGTTGTCTCTGAAGGTCTTGTGCACTTGACATGAACATTATTTTTGCGCTCTGTAATAGGAAATACCCGTCCAAGTGGAAACTTGGATCATCTTAAGGAATTGAAGCTTTGAAAACAACTTTTACACTCAAACTGGAAACAATGCATTTGGGAACTGAGTAGTATTTCCCACTCATTTCTTTTACATACTAGTCTTATGAAAAATGAAAGAAGACACAGGGCCGTTTCATTCTACTGATCGAACCAGCAGCATCGTGGTGACAGCACCATTGGTTAGTTCTGAATGCCAGCTTGTGTACTGGAAAGACGGACCCATTTTGCCTCTGTTCCTACCTCCCTCTCAGCCTCTGTACATTCACACTTGATGTAGAAAGAGGACACATCAGTGCTGGCTTGAAAAGGCTAAAAGAAGCCAGAGACTCCAAAACAAGACTGGCCATTTTTTGTGTGTATTATTGCATATCCTAAAACACACAAATTGCCTTTATTCTCATAACACATTCATAATGACACCTAAAACAGAATAAGTCTCTCTATGACTGTGCCATGAAAACATCATTTTTGAGGAGTTGGAGTTGATAGTTTTTCTAATTCAAGACAGATGAAAATGTTAAGGAAATCTATTTGGAAACTGGCAGCATACCAATCTAAACAGTATTCTGAAAGTCAAGCAAAGTCCAGGACTTCCCTCTGCAGGATGACTCTTTATCCTGACCCAGCATTCAGATGGTCCTCTGTCATTCCGGCTCAAATTCCCCTGCTGCTGAGAAACTGTTAAAGCCAGTCTCTTTATTGAGCCGTTGGTATATTAACACACAAACCATCATCATTATTGGTGAACCTTAATGCATGTGCTTCTGTGGACGCATAACCTTTTGAATATAACCTGCTTTTCTCTGACTTTTCCATGTAGTTTGTAAGTAATGAAAACTATTTGAAAGCACTTATACTATTGTACTTTATCAGGCTTAAAGTATCAAATGAAGTGTTCAGATCCAGGAATGTGAAGCTACATTATTTCAATGGCTACAAAGAGTACCAAAAGGAAAAAACAGAAGGACCAAACAAACAAAAAAGAACAAAAGCTTCATTATGGCCTGTGGTTTGATGCATAAATTCCTGCAACTATCAATAGTCTGGACACACCCATAACAGTTTCTGGCCTCTCCTTATTTGAAGGCCCCTACAACAAACAAAATGGCAACTAAACGTAATCCGTGCACCATAAAACATTCATTCAACCCTTCTCTAAGACGACGAATGAACAACATCAGACTAACAGCGCAGAAGCTTTGCACATGTGGATCAAAGTTCATGTGCTGTTCAGACTTCCTCAGTAAACACTAAGGTGGATAAACACTTAGGGACAGACCTACACAGTGCGAAGATAAAAACAAAAGCAGATTCAAACTGTCACCAAACTTCTACAGTGAATAACTAAATAAATTAATCAAATTTTAACAAAATAGCTTTCTTTTCACTTTCTGTTAATCTTCCCCATAAAATACACCCTACAGATTGAGATTGCATTTGATTTTACTGAGTCTTTTTGATGCTTATAATGGAATACCAGCTCAAAGGTTGGGCCTGTCTGCTCATTGAACCATGCACAAAACGTCCTGTGCACTCCATCTTTGACAATCTGTTGCAAGCACAGAACTTCTTTCAAAGCATTCTGTCCGATGGTAAAAAAGAAAAAAGAAAACCGTAATGAGTGTTGCAGTTTTTACAGGAGCAGCTTCTTTCTAAATCATTCAGATAAATCCAAAATACTTAACATCCTGACTCAAGCATCTGACTGTCAGACACTTTGCACAATAAGCGGACAAGACACACACACACGCAACACACTGCCCTCAGGCTGTAGTGAGAAAAGCTGGTGGTCCAACAAAAGGAGGCGATAAGTACAATCAGTCATTTGAAAAATAGTCACAAAAATACACCCATTATACTCAGAGCACTTGGCATAGTGAGCAGGACCGTAGCGACAGTTTGTACTCGGGTTGTTTCACAGTTGTGGTTGCAGCAAATGCAGATAAGGGTGTTTAACAAAAAAGAAGACAAAAAAAAAAGAAATGAAAAAACAAAATCTGACTTAAAATGTCAGATTTTATCTCAGGAGAAAATTAGTTTAAATCCCCTCCTGGTTCAGACACTATCAACTTAAAATAATTGATACGTGCTTTATGCTTTATCTTCAGGCCAAAGTATGCTCATTTCAGGGTTCTCTGAATGGAAAGGTCAGGGTTTATTTAAAATATATATGCAAGTAAATAGTATGATCAAAAATAAATTTAAATGAGTACATAGTTCTTGTATGAACATCTGGATTCAGATGATAAATTATGATTGCTAGATATTTCTGCAAAAGGGAGAAGCATTGTCTCTCTAGTGAGCTCTATTTTTTTTAAAGTAGCTTGAAGTGTCACTTTTTCATTGGCACCCCTGTTAGTAAGAAAATAAAAATAAACTCTAGGTAAGGATCCTGTGCACAGCCTCACCTGACAGATCAAAAAATACTCATGTGGATATACAAAAAAAGCTAGTCTGTTCTTAAGTATTTATCATCCCAAACAGCACAGCATTTTCTGAGGGAAGAGTATTCATCTTCATTTGCACTTCCTCATAAAAGTTAATGAATAAAGGCATGTGGGAACCAAGCTCGGTGGCCAGAAATGATCTACATCTTGAGGATAATGTTAAGAATATTACATTCACGCCAACCTGAATAATTTTTACACACAAAATAATACATAAGAAAAGAAAGCTAAGGAGTGGCTCCATCTCACTAGTGACTTCTTATAAAAGTACCGGTACGTCATATTGTAATGAACTTTTTCTTCCCATTTCACCTTTTTGCTGCAGAGCTAATGTCCACAGTGTAGAAATGACAGTGTGTGCACATCTTAGAATAGAATTAACTCCACAGCACAACCATAACACTGAAAAATAAAGTCAATGATTTCGTAAGAAAAGTTTTTTTCATCTAAAAGAATGTTAAAATATCAGTTGTTTGCACCAAAGATATGGAACATGGTAACTGTGGACAGACTTTCCTGTCTTGGGGACGCGTCAGTGCTGTATCAATAACCAGATCAAGCAGCACAAAATGGGAACATGGCTGAAATAATAAAAAATCTATTCATCAGTGATTGAAGTAAAATAACATGCAGGGGTCATTTTGTTTATTTATGCTCTCATGGAGCATCAGAAAAACTATCTACATTGAAGTTTTACAAGGTAAGAAAACCAGTGAAAGCCTAATACGTTTGGCTACAAGCTGCCTCAGCTCATTCAGCTCCACTAAGTGACGTGCAGCTCGATTAAGCATTTCAACTGCATGGCTTTAGGGGCAGCCTTATCTGCAACATTTGCCCCAGACGGGAATGAAAGAGTTGTTTGACGACTGAGTTAGAGCTGCACTGCAGAACTAAATGAAAACCTACACCACTTCCGTGGAACTCCCAGGCATCTTTTTCTGTGTGTTTGGCAATACCTGTTATGTGGAAACAAGGTTTCAAATAATCCTCAGCATGCATTATACTGAGTTACCCAGACACATGCCTCCTTAAGCTTCTGTACAGTTGCTGTACAATTCTGAGAATCTCACTAATGTTCCTGCTACCAGTGTTGTTGCTTTTGTTGCTTGTTTGTTCTTTTGTCTTCCCTGTGTCCTTTTGCAGGAGCTCCTATAGGTTATCCACTAGAATTGCCCACAAGGAACAGTTTCTTTTTGACAGACATAAGAGCTGGTTGTAAGCTTTTGTTGTCTTTCTTTTTATTTTTTTCCTTCTCTTTCTGTCTAAAGGATCTCTCATTTCCACTGCTCTTCTTTCTCCCCTGTCCTGTCAGGTTCGGCATTATTGGACACATATAAGTTTGATAACAAAAATAAATAAATAAAGCAGTTTTGGGTCATCAAGGGGGGCTTGGCAAAGCAAATTTCTTCAGAATAACACGGTACTCAGATGTCAGTTTTGCTGCCATAATGCTGAACAGGACAAGGTAAAAAAGCATGCATTACACTAAGGGTCGACCTAAGGTTTAGTTTATCTATATTGCTAACTTAATATGTTTTACTCCTTAAAGCAATGGGGGAAAAGACAGCTTCAAGTGAGGAATGTTCAATGGCAAAGAAAACCTCTTCCATACAGCTGAAAATATCACACGTCTCCCTTCTCAGGGTACACTGAAAGCAGCACAAGAGGTACAAGTGGTGTTTTGCATAACTTTACAAGGCTTTGAATTGTGTATTATTTTATTTTTCTTTCAGGAAAGGGAAGTCTGGAATGAATAGAGTTGTCACACAAAAGTCCCAGCAGCAGATTAGGAGGATTTGTTGAAAAACAGCGTGAATAGGTGAGGAGTAGTGTCAACATTTGCACTTAACTGACCTTCCATGAGCGTGGAAATCCAAATGTATGGCCCTGTCTTCAGGAGAGAGTGCTCTTTTGGCTCTTTGGTGACTGTTGTGCAGAGCCTCTGTGTCATATGACAAGCCCTCATAGTGGCGGATATATTTGTTCAGACGGTTCCCAAACTGACCTGAAAGACAGTTCAATGACATATGGCATATTAATCAACAATTCTGAGCTTCTGCAGAATGAGCTACATTTTTTGTTCAGTATTTTACCGAGTCCAAAACATTTCACTTTGACCCGATCATCTGCAAAAATAAGTTAGCTAATGTTTCATGCTTTCCAACTACCTAATCAAATGTTTTTTTCATTAATAGCCGTGGGGAGCCAGCCCTCATACCCGAACTTTTCCTACTGTGGAAGTACAACAGCCCTACATTGGAAAACTAAAGTGGGAAATCTAAACAGCAATGGCAGTTTACAGGATGAATTCACTTGGTTCACAGACTTTTTCAGCTTACTGGCCACAAAGAGGTAATTGAGCCAGCTTTCATACAACCCGTTTTCTTTGTTCTTTTAAAAAAAACAACAAAGAAACTGCTCTGCCAGAAGCACAAGCCAGGAGCACATGATGCACATCAGGTGACCGAGGTTCTGTTTCAGTAGTATTGCGGATCATTGTGGGAGTCAAGTGACTGCTGGATTTGTTGGCAGTCTAAGTGGTAATCTACATTCCAAGAAAACGTCAAAGCTCCCGAACTGTATGTAGGTCTGAAGAATTTGTGAGGAAAAAAGGGTGAAAAATAAAAATAAAGCTGCGCTATGAGGTAAAAACTAACTAAAAAATGAGGCCTTTGGCAGTGACAGAGACTAAGCTCTTCTCTTCTACCACAAAGACCTAAAAAAAAAAGCTTAAAAGCTTATAGGGACTGCACAGGTAGTAAACCTCACTTGTGTTTTCAAACTGATGCTCAGTACTGTTGAGCTTTCACGTAGTGGGAGTTATGACTCCACAAACAGGCAGAGGCTGTACCAGGCTAGCACCAACTTGTCAATGAATGCACATAGAAAACAGCCCTTTTTCAAAAATGAAAATAATGACAGCCAACAAGAGTGATCCAATAACCACTGCCAACAACAAGATAAGCTTTGGGATGAGAGTGAGGCAGCAATTAATCCGGGAGTAAGTTCCTGTTTTTAAAAAAAAGCAAAACAGACACTTTCAGTTCAAACTGCCAGGATGTGCACCCTCCAAACGAGGTGTGAACTCACATTAAAATGTCAGAGGGCATAAAGCTAACATGTCTACATAGAGCTGCCTTTAATAACCTACACATCACTCTTCATGTTGGACTGATTTTGCTGTGGATGTAGAATGAAAACCTGTGGTACTCAACGGTATATTGGCTTATATAAAACATGTTAGGCAGACCAGGCTGGCATTAATTTAAGTTGGATGTTCATGCAGCTGCAGTAAATTAACCACTAATTGGACGTTTCTGATTCTTAGAACTGGTGACATAATGATGATTTGACACCAAAAGGTGAGGAAACCCCCAAAAACTGAGTTTCACTCCAAAACCACCCTCATCATCGTGATTGCTATGGACTCTGTTTCAGCCTCAAGCACTCCTATTAAGCGCAGTTCTTAACAAAGGAAACTAACAACCACAAGGATCACAACTTTTCTGAATGTCATGTTATATGCAAGCTGGGGGATGGCAGTTTAGCTTTAGGGATGGTTTACATAATCACAACAACTTAAATCTGTCTTTGAGACGGCTAACGGCATTAAAAAGAGTCAGCTGAAACCTGAGCATAAAATCTGACAAAATAGACAGCTTGTCAACACCAATATTGTCAAATTTGTTGAAAGATAATAGACATTACATGTGTACTGCTGTTTTCTGAATGACTGTATGTAACAAATGAAGAAATATGAAAAACAGCTCACATGCAGTCATGCACTGGGGAAAGCCCAGAGATATTTTGAGAGATAAAGCCTATGATTAATGAAAAACTTATTTTAAAAGTGAAATTATTTTCCAATGGCCTAAATATGAATGTATATATTAAATAAATTGATAGCAAGAAACAATGGCATGTTCTACATTCCACACTGTGGAGATAAACACGTGTTTCAGTGACAAAATGATTTATTCGTGATGGCCAAAATCAATAAGTAAGGCTGAACCCCTAAAACGCAATTCTAAAGGGTATTAAGCAATTAGGTTCTTTGAAGAGCTACGCCAAACATGAAGATGTGCTTTCATAATCCCGCTGGTTCACAGTCAATGAAAAAAAAAAGCAGTAAAGCTGTGTAAAATTTGACAAGGCAAGAAAACCATTGAAAACTTAATACGTTTGGCTTCCCTGCCACTTTTAACAAGCTGCCTCAGCTCATTCAGCTCCACTAGGTGACATGCAGCTCGATTCAGCGTTTCAACTGCATGGCTTTAGGGGCAGCCTTATCTGCAACATGTGCCCCAGATGGGAATGAAAGAGTTGTTTGACGACTGAGTTAGAGCTGCACTGCAGAACAAAATGAAAACCTACACCACTTCCGTGGAACTCCCAGGCATCTTTTTCCTGTGCGTTTGGCAATACCTGTTATGTGGAAACAGGGTTTCAAATAATTCCTCAGCATAAAGTATACTAAGGATCGACCTCAGGTTCAGTTTAGGTATATTCCTAAACTATGGCCAGTGACCAAAGTGGTTATGTCCCAACAAGTACCAAGTAGGGGTTCTGTAATTGCCAACAATCTACTACATTTAACTCGGAGGGCTTAAATAATCAAGGTAACCTGAGACTAATAGTCTTGTCTATGTTTTTCCTTTTTAAATGTCTACATATGGCATGAAGATTTGATTCATGTAGACCGGAGTGAATATTAACTCAGCACATACAAAAGCTGTCAAATGTGGTAGTGCCTGAACCTTTTTCGACGCCCGTATCCTCAAAAAACGACGTAAAGAAACGGGGGGAGCTGCTTGGTAAACGCACAGGCGGTTCCTTGCAAAGTAAATGGTTTCAATATCATTTTAACCTCACTATGTGTTCCCGGTTTTCTTCCTACCTTAGCGACATACGCGCCATTCAAACTCCTGTTTATGGACGTTAAGACTGAACTATCAGCTTTTTTCACACACAAAAATGTCTGTCTAACCGTAATTGATACGCCCTGATACCCAGACCAACACGGGCACGCTAACAAAGTCGAAAGAGTGAAGAATAAACACGGGTTAGCCCCAATAAACGCTACAGTTAGATGTAACATTAGCCACATAGCTAGCAAGTTGGACTACAGGAGTTCAAACGTTTGACCTGAATAGCGCGGTACACTCTCCTTTTCCCCAAGCCAGTGGCAAACTTACCTGTAATAACTCGTAGGCAGCAAAACGTGAAAATTAGTCTGATAAATATCATATCGGAATCCTCTGTAAATCAGTCAAACAGCTAAGTGTCCCAGCGAGACGGCTGACTACTTCTCTTTTCGTTTAGTTTCAGTTGACGCTCTGGTAATCGCCCTTTCGTAGTTAGCTTACTCCCATCACGAAAACACCGGGGATCTGCCTATCCCCAGCTGCCCTACGCCACACACTCAGACACATACACTTAACAAAAAAAAGACAGGAACGTCCTCCTCCCTTCCGGTGCGTTTTGCCAAGGGAGACTAGACACACCCATTAAGCCACTATTTCGATAAACTTCAAAACAATTGAAAACAAAACAAACTCTGGCACCTTTACAGCCAAACAAGTGAAGTTTATGTGCTGGATCGTAATGTGAGCGGCATGAAATCAAGAACTGAGATGTCGTTTGGGGGCTGTGTTCATTCAGCAAGTTGCAAGTTGTTTACTTCCGCAAGTCACAACTTCCGGGTGCACACATTTTTTTAAACCCCTTTTGTATGGAGATTAATTTAGATACGTTGTTGTTAATAAAATAAGCGTTATCACGGCCAACAGGAAAGGACAATTATATACAATTTAAATAAGATGACAGGTTAGGTCATTAATGTTTAAATGGGCTCAAAGCCCCGGTGGACGCAGATATATTCTGGTTAGGTCTGTGCATAATTTAGTGTATTACTCCCAAATGAAAACCCGTGGTCCCTGATAATGGAGTGGAAAAAATGTTATGTTAGAACTAGATACATTCCCTATTTAGAGTCCAATTTCATCCTTTAAATAGATCAAACATGTATGAAATATGCTAAATGTGTTTAAAAGTGGCACACAGGCATTCCTGTAGCGGACTAAAGACAGACAAGAAACAAAAAGTAAATGTACCATGTGCTAATATAAGGTAAACAACAAGAGAATATGTGGCAAAGCATGTTTATGTAAGAGAGTTCCTGTAGCACTGAGCAGTCAGCCGTATGTGCTCAAAAACACTGATTTCCTGATTTTGTTTCCTCTGTAAACCACAATGTTTTGACTGCGTCTGTTTCCAATTATACCCTAACGAAAATAGAGTTGGTAATAAATCTATCTGTAATTTTAGCCACGTTTTCTTTATTTTATTTATATAAATATATGAATAAATATTTATCATTTATGTAAAGCTAGCTCTGGAACAATGAAAACGTTTGATCTAAATACCCTTTCTGAAATATTTACCAACAGCTCTATGGTTGAAGATATAACCTGAAGGATGCCATCTTTGTGCTGACAGTGTAACAGTGGCTGCAGGGCCAGTTTATTTGCTGACATTAGCGCAGTTCTCTGAATCAATTGATCACTTGATCTTTTAGTTGCAATACATTTCTGCTTGGAAGAGTATTTGCTGCCATCCAGTGGCTACAAATATTACTGCATTCATTATGCAAATAGTTCCAAATTATCGTAATTATTATTATTGAGAAAAGGATGAGTGAAAATGTATATGATTTGGAGAATAACTTCTCGAGTTAAAAATAATTAATGTTAACTAAAAACCCTAATTTTTCATGGTGGTTGGAACTTGAGCCCGTTCACGTGACACAAGTGTAGCCTCACAGCTGCGCGTGCACTGGTAAGCAAGATGGTCACCGCCACGGCACGTTCCTGTCATGCCCCATTCTGCTACCCTCGTAAAATGGACAACTTTAACATGTATCTCAAACGTGTAAGGTGTAACCGCCTTTATCCTCAGCTGTGTATATAAATGTTTGTGTTTTCAATAGTGAATGGCACCAGTAATGGCACCACTTTTAAAGATTTGTTTTGGGTTTGAAAATGTTTAACTCTCTATTTGTTAGCTTGGAAACTACAGTGAAGGTTTTGTGAGTAAATGAGTAACAGTATGATTTTGTATTAATTGATCAGGAAATATCAACTAATTTCAAGCTCTGAAAGAATTTACCTCTGCGGTTGAAGAAAAGAAATAGGCATTTTTTGCTTGAATTGCTTACTTTTTCTATCTTTTTTATTGCAAGGGAACAGACGTTTGGAAAATAGAAAATACGAGGTAACGTAAATGCACCACGATTGGTTTTCTACCGCCCCCTTGCACGGCCTGAAAGCAGTTCACTCTGATGACGTCACTTGCAGAGTTGTCATGGCGTCTTTGGGACTGAAGCTACCGCTACAATTTAGCTAAAATCTGTCGACAGCCTGTCTATCGAAATGGAGAAAAATGCAAACTTGCATCGAGAGACTGACGGGAGCTCTCTGTGTGCCTCGCTCGCGGGAGAAATGGGCGACGTTACGGCTGTGGGTGGCGTGAAAGGAGCAGGCGACAAATGCAAGAACAGTGAGGCTCCTCTCAGTACTTTGGTTACCGTTAGTAGTAGTATCAGCACCACAAATGTGAGCGCTCCGAGCACCGTCAGTGCTCTTCCCAGTGCTGGGAAGTGTGACGTGCCAGAAGTTATCGAAGTCCTCCCCGTGCCGGAGGAGCAGAAGAAAGACACCGACGCGAGCGGGCGGCTGTCGGGGTCTGGGGATCGGATCAGTAACGGTATGGGACATGACTCGGTGCAGGCAGCAGAAGACACCCAGGGTGGTGCCTCAAAGTTAGTAAACAAGAAGAGCGACGGCCCGTCCTCGCCTCCCGCTACGGGGGGCGCAAACACACCGGCTGAGCTCTCGGCTGGTGGGGAAAGTGAACCGGCGAAACTTGCCAAACCGACCAATCTGTGTCCAGACAATGTCGCCTCGTTAGACGTCAAGTCGGCTCTGTCCGGGGAGCCCACTTTATCTGAGGGATTGCCGAGTGGGAGTGACCCCGATCCCAGCCTGGGTGGGGAGTCCCGAAGCATAGATTCCCTGGAGTCCTTCTCCAACCTCAACTCGTGCCCCAGCTCGGACCTGAACAGCGAGGGCCTGGAGGACAAGGGGCTGGCCCTGGCCCTGCAGAGCGAGTTTGGGGCCGACGGCACCAAGACTTCGTGCGCAAAAGATCGAGCCGCCGGCCAGTCCATTTACCACATTAAGTGGATCAAGTGGAGGGAGGAGAACACACCGATCATCACTCAGAACGAGAACGGCCCCTGTCCACTACTGGCCATCATGAATGTCCTCCTGCTTGCATGGAAGGTAATGATCAGATGAGCCCGATTTTTGTTTAGAATTTAAGTTTTGTGCGCTCATTGATGTAACAACATGGGAACAATCAGATTGGTGTGACTTTTCTTTTTTTAACATGACCATGCATGCCGTTTGCATTCAGATAACGGATGCAAAGTGTTTTGCACTGCAGCACAAGTCTAAGCAAATCCATATTTAGACAGCTTCAGCTTATCAGTGTTTGCTAAATGTGTGACATGTTAATGAAAAGTGTCTGTGTTTCTGCCCGGTGCAGGTTAAGATGCCTCCTATGATGGAGATCATAACTGCTGAGCAACTGATGGAGTATCTTGGTGAGTGTTTTGCAGCTTTCGCATAACATGTCAAACATAGCCTCTCACAGAAGGCAAAATGTAACGTGTAAGCCACATGGCCTTGTTCAAACTGGACCGGGACTTTTTAAAAATGTATAAAACGTGCAAATAAGCCACTGCTGTGGGATGTGCATTTTTATGAAGTGGAACTGAAGCCCATGGGTCCACATTTGAGGTCAGAGTTTTGTATGAAGCCACTGCAGTTCATTTTCAGCATCTCGGTAGACATTCTTGTGTTTCATATGCTCTCCAATGAGCGGCATGTACTTAAAGGTCAGATAGATCTATATATATATTCCAAAGTCTATGGAGGAAGGGACCAGGACTGCGGAATTCCCCATGATCCGATATTCTGCTGCAGCAAATGAAAACAGGAGCCGTTCCTTCTCTGTGGCTTCTTAACCAGAATCACTGGGCATTCTAAAAGCGTAGTCAGATTAAAAGCAGTTCTTTAGAGGACTTACCTCTCAGCTCTGTCAGGTGGCCTCTGTAACCAGTTTTATGTTTGATTTTAAGCTATTTGTCGTATTAATCTGATACATCACCCATTTAAAAAATGCCGTAATCGTTGGGCTCCATCTGAGCTGAGAGGGCGCGTCCAGTCGTTTGTGGATAAATGTCCGAGGCCGCGTTCTTAAACGAAAGGACAGCGCACACAGTTGGTTTTGTGGAGTGTTTGGAGCCCTCTGGAATGCTTCTAACCTCATCTTGACTCCTCTTTTGTCATAACACTCACAGACGAATGCAACAAGTGTGTTTAGGCTTGGAAGTGGTGTTTTAAAGTGGAAGTGGTTGTCACTCAGCAGCTCCACGGTGTGCTGCAAGTCAGGCGGACGTGAGGAAGCAGATAGAGATATTAAGGGAGGACCCGAGGTTGATGGTAGCCCAAAGCACTGAGGGGTGGGGGGGGTGGGAGCCTCCTGTTTTGAACACATCGCAGTCAAATCACACAGCTCCCTGCCAGTCTTTCCACCCTCTTTTTTTTTTTGCTTTAGCGAGGCACATATGAGAAGAGTTTTCTTTTCATCTGTGGCTGATTTACTAATGTGGATGACAAGAGGTTGATGGCGTTCCTGTGAGTAATGCGCTGGGAAAGTTTGTGTTGACAGTGCAGAAAGAAGCTCCTGCCAGGTCCTAATAAATTAGCGCTCCTCTTCCAAACATTCTAGAAAATGACTTGCGCAAGACTATCTAAAGTGAGGGGAGACGGCCGCCGCGCCATCTCTGATGAACCGAGCGGCAAGCTGCCGTCTGCAAAAGGGCCCAAAGCCGTCCTGAGCCCCGCCCGTGTCGCAGCCAGCTGTGTTGGGCTGAGAAAAACATCCCCGGGACACACTGCCAGGCCGTGCCCCCTCTGCTCCGCAGCAGGGGGGATCTGATTTGGGTTCTCAGGTGACACAGATGTGCACTGAGATACGCCTCATCCCATCAAACTGCCCCAGCTTTTTTGGGGGGAAGTAGCTGGCCCATACAAAATGTGTGTACGAGCATGTATCGCTTAAAAGCATGTGGCAGGTACTCCGACTGCGTCAGGCTCCGTGTGCTATTCTGTGGCGGCTGTAACGGCCATCTGTGTTCTCAACATTTCCCTCTCCTCCCTCTGCAGGTGACTACATTCTCGAAACCAAACCTAAAGAGATCTCGGAGGCTCAGCGGCTAAACTATGAACAGGTGAGGCCTTCAATGTTTAAATGAGCTCCCGGCGGCTTGCGGTTGGTGGCGCGCCGGGTTTTTGGGGGATTAGCTCGCTCTCCTCTCTCCCTCACTATGTGTCAAGATCATAATTGCGCAAGTTCTCACTTCATTGATGCACTCAGAATAACCCAGCTGTTCTCACAGCCTTTTTTTTTTTTTCACATCGCGTCCTGCAGAAATCTTTCCAGTGGCAGCATGCTCACACTAAAGCAGGTTTGCATTCAGGTAGCACTGGTCAGCAAACGTTCTGCAGTTTGTAAATGAGCCTTGAGTTGATAGCAAACCACATGAATGTGCAGATCAGCCCTTTTTCCCCGCTACTCTATAGCTTACATAAGAAGAGTCTCGCGAGGCGCAGAGAACAACGGGGGTCAGGAGTGTCAGATTATGTTGTTTCACATGCCGGCGAATGCTCCGAGACGCATGGCTGGGTTCAGCTCCCGGCTATTACCGAGGCACTGCGCGTGTGTGTGTGTGTGTGGGTCTGTGTGTGGCGTACCATGAAAGGCTCTTGGAGATGGAGCTCCAGTTTCTCGCTTCCTCCCATCTCCGCTGCCTGTGTACAGTGTGGGAGGGGCCCTGCCTCTTCTGCTCTTGCGTGGCAGAGCAGGAGCACATCTGTGAATGATTTCAAACCGCTCAGTTAGAGTGGAGCAAAAATAATGTGCAGTTTCCACTTATAAGCTCTCAGGCGCTCCAAATTTAAGTCGAGCTGAGATACGCCGCCTTCAGTGAATAGGCGGCGCCCTCGGCGTGCAGAGCTGGAGTAGAGGAGCAGTTAAGAGGTTGCGTTGCTTTGTTATTGTAGTGGTCTAATCCAAGACACCGGGCCGGGAGTTTTTTGACATGTGGCCGGCCTCACGCCTGAGACCGTGCTGTGGCGTAGGTGTAGAACTGTGAAAAGGCCTCTTCTTCATAAATGAGTGCTGAAGATATGCTAATGTTGTGTTTATTTTATTTTATTTATTTAATTATTTATTTTTGTTAGTGAAAAGTAGTCGAAGGCTTCATGACACGAGTTGTTCTGTTTATTAATGAGAAAACATCCTCTGCAACAGTACAGCATTTTGATTAAAATAACAGCTGTCTGAATGCTCTTTGGCTTTTGTTTAATATTTACTCGGAGGAGCTGATGAAAAATGTAATTGAAGTTGGTCTCAGTGGACCTGGCTCAACAATGTGATCCATCCTGGATGACCGGTCAGCCACTGGGTTAAAGGGGCAGCTCCGCTTAAGAACCGGTTCAGTTTTGGGCTGCTGGCTGTTTTGTGTCAAATCTGGTCACAGCTGGTTAATTTATTGATTTTATTCTGAGGGGTTTCCCCCCAGTTGGTGTGTTTGCCCTCAGCTCGTGCTTATTTTATTATGAATGAATACATTTCATCGTGTCAACTTGATGAACTCTGCACATACACTTTTTAAACATGCTCAATTTAGATATTAAGTCTCCTCTTCCAGGGAGTTGTGTGTAAGAAGAAAACATTTAATGGAAAACATTTTTTCACACCCTTTAAACGTCTTGGATATTTACTTCTCCATCACACTGAATAATGTTTGCCTAAGAGAGATTTCAGTTATATCTTTTCTTCTTTTTTTTCAACATAGCATGAAAGTTAACTTTGAAATGCTTTTTATCAGGGAGATCAAATTTTCTGGTTGACCGCAGTTTGTTTTCCAGAAGGCAAAGGGCCAAAAAGAACTACTGTTCATTGTTCAGAAAACAAGTTACCAGTTGAGTAACTGTTACCATCTATTTCAGATTTAGTCAAAGTGTTGTCATAATTGGTGTAATATATTATTATACATGCATTTATTTGTTTACTAAGGTATCCGTTCTTGGATTGAAAGTATTGAGCCATTTGAGGTCGGTAATATTTTCTCTATTTGAAATTAAAAAGGTATGATTTGAAAATGTAAAAAGAAAACGTAAAGTAATTTAGGTTTGAATTGGATGTTTTTTGCTGCTTCCAGATTTGTTATTTTTAACCCCAACATAGTTTTCTTCTTCTTTTTCTTTTTTATTTCACATTTTAAGCTTTATTCTTAGTGTTTGTATTTTGTGACAGTGTCTTGACATGATAGGGCGGGTCTTCACATGGCAGCTGAGTCAGCCTCTATATACACTTCAATGACTTTTAGGACGCCTAGTTTTAAAAGTTCACTTTCGAATAGTCGTTTCCGATGAACAAACATCATGGCCCTGAAACGGCTCCTTAGAAAGTCCCTACAGGGTGGCGTGCAAGGGTTAGACTCTTGAAATGCATCCAACACGAGGCCAGATGAATGACAGTAATGCAGTGCCGATCATCTGATCTCCCGGCGCTCATGTGCTGCTGGAGCTCTCCACTCCCAAAGTGCTGAGATGTGTTCCGTTACACAGCCCTGCTAATCCTTCCATCACTGCTGTCCATAAGCATCCTAATCCACAGGCGAGGATGAGGCAGCTGCAGGCTTTTCACCTCCGTTCTCCTTTCCTAGCCAAGCACCAACACCGAGGATACACAGTGGACACTTCGGTTTTCTACCGTAACCCGGAAAATGGACTCCCACTCTGCATATGGCCGTTATGGGTCAGGATTGGCATAAATCACGAGAAATAAAAATTCGTATTCACTTTCAGTGGCGTTTAAGACCCGTTGATAAATGTGAAGAGACAAGCCAAGTTATATTGAATTTCTAATAAAACCGTTTTAAATATGTATAAGACACTGCAATATCATTTCCATCTAGATGGAATAATTTATAGAAATGTCTTTCAAATCCTGCTTTAAAAAACTGAAGGCAGAATAAGCTCTTCGCATTTATGACCTTTACTGTTACTCTGTTCTGTTTTTTGATGGCTTCGATTATCTTTGCTTTTCTTTATTGATATTGTTCAAATATTTTTAAACATTGTAAATGTATTTTCGCAGTACAATACTATTAAAATAGCTAAATTATAATGGTGGATTTTCCACTTCTAAAGGCTGTGATGAGCAAATAAATCTGAAAAACTCTATTTAAAAAGAAGCCAAAAAACAATGGCTATTAATAGATGCATCGCACTGTTCTACTAGACTAAAATAGTCTGTTTTGAACTAACCGTACAGTCCTCCAAATACATGCCTATTCTCCATAATTTTGGATGACGGGACACAATGCTACACCTCACTGGTGTAATGGCTTATCTTCCATTCATACTAACTTCATACTAAACAGTCGTTGGCACAGTTTTGTCAGGGAAAAATAACTCAACTCTTTCCCTTTAGGTTTAGAGGTGTAATATTTTCAATATGTGTCTATTTGGAACATGACACACATGTCGGAACAACCATGTAGATGAAGAGTTTTTTTCCACAAATCTTGTGCTTCTAGAGAGCTCTTACTCATCATGGGAAGAAACCTGAAATGGGACGATTGTCCCCAACATGTAGATGTTCTTAATAACAAACGTTAATTATATCTTTTAGAGGGAAAATTCTTCCTTGATCGAGGAATTTTTGGTTCCCGAGGCTTAGGGATATGCGGATTTATATAAATGCTTAGAAAATTCTAAAAGTATTACAAAGTTACCTGAACAAGTTGCTGAACTTCAACTACATTTTTGTAATGCACTGATTTTTAAATAGCTTTCCCCCCCACTTTGATCACAATAAGAGTATTTTTTTAAGCTGGATCTGCTGAGGATTCATTTTAAACTGACTGGCAGAGATTGCGCTCCTTTTTATTTAGCTGGGTCATCTCTTTTATTTACTTCCATCTCCAAGGTCCTGATTCCCAGTTTCCATTTTCATTTTTTTGTGTTTGGCCCTGGAGCTTACACAGCTCGCTACTCATAGACGCTTTGAACGGCTCCCACTACAGCACATTTGATCTGTATTCATCTTTTCTCATCCCAAACTGGAAAAAAATCAGTTTTTTCAAACACTCAGAGGGGGGCTCACATCTCAGAATGATGGTTACTTATCCTTTATATATTGTCTTACATGCAGTCTTATTTTGTCCAAGGTTCTTTTGAGAAGAGGGTTAAGATCCGTTCTTTGTTGTTATTCATTGTTGATGTTGTTTTGCTCAGAAGTGATGGGCCTTCATTCTGTCTCACCTACTGTCGCTGTCCTCTCAGGGCTCAGCTGGAAGGCCCCTGTTGATTTCAGCATTAAATGGCAGCAGAGGTTCAGAGCCAGCTGGCAAATGTTGCTCTGAGGCTAAATGCAAGAATTAGTCATTTTCTTGGGTTCTAAGGGGTGTGGGTTATTTGTGTATGTAAAGTCTCTGATGTTCATAGAAGCTGTTTTTCTAATTCACTGCTCTTGATTACAGGATTATTGGTAGTTTTAATTGGAGAACAGCTTAATCTCTTCTGTAATTAATTCATTTGTGTTAAAAACAAAAACTAAAAACCTTATGTTGTCATGTGTTTTCTAGATTTTCAATAGTATTTATCAGTTACATTGATACGTGTAACAGGTAGCTGTGTACCGTGCTTCGTGTCTAGATGAGAATGGATGCTGGTTTGCGTTAATAGCCAGACGTTCAGATTTGTCAGGCATTTCCACAAAAAAAAATACTTTGAGACTTTGATCAATCAGAACACGTCAATTTACCACTTCACCTCATAATCAGGTCCAGAGAAAGCAGCATAAGTTGTTCTCGTACATTTGAATGGATTAAAACATTTTGAGGCATTCAGGTTGACTCTCTATAAAGTCAAATAGATGTGACGCTCATTAAAAATAAACTGTTTTCTGGTTCAAACAGAATATTTAAATATATCAGCCAACTACACGCACAATGTGGAATAGAAACGGTTTCTGCTTGTAAAAAACCAAACAAAACAGGGTTTTTATCAGGTATATTTAGTTGGATTGTGCTCAGTCGGATTCCTCCAGTATAAATTTAGCCGCAGAAATGTTTTGGTTCAAGTCATCTTTATGCCTCAGGCTTTTTCTGCTTTTTCTTCTATGCTAATCTTTACATTTTCAGGATTTTATTTTTAACTTCTGGTATCAAAGCTCCATCTGTTCACAGCAGCCTTTGTGAGTCTGCTGTGCCTCCGAGAGATGACGTTGTGGGGGCATCGCATGAAAAAGTGCTCTCGGTGCATGGTCTGTGCTACAGTGAATAATCTCCCATTACTTGTGTGTAAAGACATTTTGGTAGAGGCAAAGCTATTTAAAGCTGAACTTTTCAACTTCTGTAACAGACCAAAACTGACTTCCCCCAAATGTCTGCATCATCAGACAAACTCTCTGTTGAAGTCATTTAAAGATAAAATTTCTGTGCACTGCATGCATTCCATCAGTGCTTACATGCGAGATGATCTCCCACAGAGAGAGCGTGTACAGCACAGCATCCTCAATCCTTTCGTGCAGCTTTGCCGTTTGGATGTAACTCAATCAATGACTATGCATGTATTCCTTAACAGGACGGTTATTTTGAATTTAAGCTGTAATTATAGCTTGACCGACATGTCGTGTAACCATGCTGATTGTGACAGATACAAGGCAGAGCTCAAAGCTATACGACCGCTTTTTCAACATTTCCTAGAGTTGAACCAGAATCTGTCTGCTTTGTGTTTTCCAGAATATGAGCGATGCCATGGCAGTGTTGCACAAGCTGCAGACGGGCCTGGATGTGAATGTGAAGTTCACAGGGGTGCGTGTGTTTGAGTACACACCCGAGTGCATCGTGTTTGATCTGCTCGACATCCCTCTTTACCACGGCTGGCTTGTTGACCCCCAGGTGAGATGGATCTCGTTGTTTTCACCATCCTGACTCTCCCCATAGTGAGTTATTGTAAGCCAGGTCAGGATTAGCTAACTGGGACGGGTGTGACGTGGACTGACTGGGGTACGACTGGTTCTGCTCATGCAACAACTCGAGTCCTTCATACTGACGTAACAGTTTTACAGGGCGGTGGATCATGAGGGAAATCTTCTCGAGGAGCATCGAACGCATCTTATTTTCTAACTGACCATGTTTTACTTCACAAAGTTTAGAAATAAAGCCACCACACAAAATATAAAAACACTCATTCAGCCACTCCCCTAAGCCACCGGTATTCCAAAGCTCAAAGGGATAACTCATAGAGTCTTGTTTTTTAATTACCCCTAAATGAATGCAACAAATAGGTAAAGTAATCAAGTTTGTGTATTTTTCTTCCTCTGAATGGTTTCAGATCTGCTCTCTTCAGAGCCTTGTCCCTCCATAGGATGGAACTAAATACGTTGAAACGCGAGGACATGCTATTGCTGCTAGTTAGTCGGCACCAAAGCCTTTGTTGAATGTTCTTTCCCACAGTTTTTATCTTTGTTTGCAGATGCAGGACATTGTGAAGGCAGTGGGCAACTGCAGCTACAACCAGCTGGTGGAGAAGATAATATCCTGCAAACAGTCTGACAGCAGCGAGCTGGCAGGGGAAGGTGAGAGCTTTCTCCACACTCCTACCTCCCTCTGACCTGCCTGATCGGCCTCCAGTCTTCTGTCCCTTCTCCTTTGCCTCGCCGATGTGGAGAAATGAGGCAAAGCTCTTCCCTTAGGTGGAAAATAAAGAGATGTTCAAAGTCACTTTTTAGTTGGTGGCACAATATTTGTGAGTTGTCTGCTTAGTAAATGTAATTCTGCACAAAACCACAGGCCCGGGTTGAATTAAACCAGGGAATACGTGCAAACGTACATAAAACGGCCCATGTCTGCAGCTTCTCAACCAAACTCTGAACTGCCAGTTGAACACATAAAGGGCTGGTCTGCGATGCACTGACAAGGGGGATTCACCCTTCTCTGTTGTAGTAGAAATGCTAGGATATTGTTGTGATTTATTTGCAGACTCCTGTTTTGTTTATCAGTCATCTCTGTTTTATTGATTATTTTCATGTTTAAAAAAAGTTTTATGATATAGCGCTGCTGTATTTGTATGAAAGATGTGCAGCTATTTATCAGCTTGTATTGGATTCATGGCCGTTCAAGCTGAAGACACCCAGACGAGTTTAAAAAGTAACCACAAACATTTTGCTTTCATAAATGAGTGGACTAGGCTTCATTGGAGTGTATATCACCCATTCATGACTATAATGATGACAAACATAAAGACATTACGTATTACGATCAGTTTTAGACCTTATTGTTCCACCTGTAAAATACAGGTCTGCGTAGCAATCCAAATGAAGACTGAATTAGCTTATTTTAAAACTTGATAAAAGCTCAGTGTTTTACTCACCTCCTCTCTCATGTCTCAGGTATTGTTGCGGAGCAGTTTCTGAGCAGCACGGCCACTCAGCTGACTTACCATGGCCTGTGTGAGCTCACATCCACTGTACAGGAGGGAGAGCTCTGCGTCTTCTTCAGGAATAACCACTTTAGCACCATGATCAAATACAAGGTAAACACATATATATATATCAACAACATACTTTCTCATCGGTTGACAACGCTCGTGAATTACTGTTGAGATTCATGTGGAGAGGTTATATTCAGAGATTTAAAAGGATATCACCTCGGATGGTTGGGTCTTCATTTTTAGAGGAAATGATCACTTAGTTGCAAGCAAAAAATGCTAATGCAAACCCCCCTATGATTCAAAAATGTATTTTAACAAGATGACATGTTTCCTGGGCTGTGTTTTAAAGACAGGCTTTGTTTAACATATCTGTGGTTTAAGCACACTTGTGTGTCCCCTTTTCAACATCCCGTGTGCGAGTTGATGCAGTAAAGTCAAGCAGAATGAAGCTCTTCTTCCAGTCACACCATAAACACTCTGGCCCTGTATATAAAGTAGATTTTAATGACTCCATTGATCCGAGACAGAACTTGTTTAGTCGTGTAGCTGTGAGTTTGCGACATGTGCTGGTAAACAATGCTTTCCTTTATAGACCTAGTAGGAGATTTGACAGGTTTTTTTCATTGAGTACATTTCAAATGTTGTTGGAACTACAAGAAAGGGGGAGTTTTTGTCACCTCAGGCACTGAAATATCTGCTGTTAAACACAGAAAGAGAGATTTTTCCTGCATACGTCACCTATGGATTTAGTGTCCTCTCTTCCCTCTGACCGCTTATCTCTTTCTATTTCCTCCTCTGAATTTCTTCCACAGGGGGACAAATAAACTATTTTCATATCTTATTCCATTCCATTCTATTTTGGAAGTCAGAGTAATGTTTCCCACTGAGGAAAGCTATGTTTTTTAATCTAACCGGCATACAGGCAGAGGCACATTATTTTAACCAAATGCCCGCCCCATCCTTAGTAACCCCTGTCAACAGCTGGCTTGACATATAACTGAAGCCGGAACTGACTTTTCCTGTTATCTACAGGAGGGGAAGTGAGGCTGCCAGCATCCACTTTCAATCCTACACTCTTTTTTGCCAATGAAAGCAATGCTCAGTGTGTGTGTGTGTGTGTGTGTGATGTAACTCTTACAAAAAACATCAAAACAACCTGAGCCCTGTTGTTTGTGGGTAGGTAGATAAAATGAATAAGGCTCTACAAACGGTAGAAACAGTGACAAGAGCAAGAAAATTCAAAGTAACAGAAATGGCAGATAATCTGTGGTGTGTTTGTGTTTTGCAGGGCCAGCTGTACCTTCTGGTTACAGACCAGGGTTTCCTGACGGAGGAGAAGGTGGTCTGGGAGAGTCTGCACAATGTCGATGGGGACGGCAACTTCTGTGATTCTGAGTTCCGGTTGCGACCCCCCTCCGATCCAGAGACCGTGTACCGGGGCCAGCAGGATCAGATAGACCAGGTCTGTGGGTTCAGATGATAGGGGTTTTTCAGCAATATGCAAAACTAGACAGGAATGATCTGCAGCCAGATTATGAATTTGTTATTGAATTTCGTCACAGAAATCCAACAAAGGCTGTAGAAAAAGAGACATGTAAAAAAAAAAAAAAATAGAAAGGTGCTTTCCATCAGTTTTCTGGGAATTATGTCCATTTTTAACAAGCAGACACATGTTTCTGTGGTATTGAATACATTACTGCGATGTGTTTGTGTAAAAACACCACAGAAAGCTGCGAATTTTAGACCTCTATTCAAACTGGCCAATCCTCAGATATGGACCCAATTACTTCAATCCAGCCCTCACCTGCCCTCAATTCAGTTAAGTAGAGGTTGTACACATTCCACATGTTAGCACAATCTCCTTACTTTTAAACCAGCCCTGGATGTTAGGACGCTACAACACATTTCAACTGCCGTTAACCCTGTTTATTTGTGTCATGAGTACCGTTACTTCGTTCAGTCACAAAGCTGAAATTTGACGTTTTTATAAAGTTCGACTGGAAAGAAAATGGAAAAGAAACAACAACAATGTAGATTTTTCCAGGTTTAGACACAAAACGTGGAACGAAGTACTGGCACAGCATCATTCATTAAGTGTTTTTTTATGGCGTTATTGCCATATGTAGGTGAAAGGTAAGGAGCAGGTTAGGTTCAAATTTAACTGGTTTCCAGTCAGAGTGGCAACAAGGTCAAAATGTGACTACATTTTGATTTGGTGACTTGCCAGCATCTGGTGGAATCCTCCAGTAGTTCACAGGTAGGATATTTTGGCCCTAAGACAAGTGAACTAGAAGTGCTTTGATTTCCAACCACTAAGGTGCAGTGAACGCAGCCTCCTCGGAAGTCGAAGTTGGCTTGAGATCAGAATGTGGATATTTTTACCCTGAGGCGCGAGTGTACCGTGTGGTTTTCAGACCGGAGCGGCAACAAACAAAGCTGTTTGGAGAAACACCCGAATATATGTCAAACTAAAAAAAAAAGTTTAAAAAAAATGTATAAAGTGCCTGTTTGCTTGTTTCGACCCCTTTTCCACATTTTCACTCGTTTTACTAACGCATAGTGAATTCTGTCTGATTTTAAGAGTCTTTGCGCTTAAAAAAAAAGCATAATACAAAGAATGAAAAGCGATATATGATCAAATATCAAGCTAAATAAAACATTTATTCATATCATCACAAATGCACGCTCAAAATGAATAATGAAAAAAAACTTGATGGAGGACACACAGTGGGTTCAGTTAAGCGTCCCGTTGCGTAACCTCCGCACATATCATAAGCTCATCGTGCGTGTGTGACTGTGGTGTTTGCTATCAGGACTATTTGATGGCGCTGTCGCTGCAGCAGGAGCAGCAAAGCCAAGACCTGCAGTGGGAGCAGCTCCCCGAAGGCATCAGCGATCTGGAGCTGGCCAAAAAGCTCCAGGAGGAGGAGGACCGGCGAGCCTCCCAGTACTACCAGGAGCAGGAGCAGGAGCAGGCGGCCGCCGCCGCAGCAGC